CGTTGACGAGACCGTTATCGCACAGACCGATAAAGGTGTCTTCCTATCCCGCGACCACGGCAAGAAGTGGAAGGAGATTTTGAAGGATAAAAAGATCAAATATGTCGTCCGCCATACATATCTCAATGACAGGGTTTTTTTCCTCGCCAGCGACGACAAAGTATACTACTCCGTAAACCGTGGCGAGGATATCCAAGAGTTTGATGTCAAGGTTCCGCATCCCGCTGATTACGGCTATGGTACACCTATGAGCTTCCATTCAACGAAGAAAGATTGGATCATCTGGACAGGTAAATCCTGCTCAACTGGTGGCGATTCTTGTCATGCCGTGTCTTCTATTTCCAAAGATCGCGGTGATAGCTGGAAGACTCTAGCACGCTACGTTTCCAAGTGTGAATTCCTCTATGCGGAAAAGTCTGCCAGAGAAGCCGAAGGCGAGAAGCTCATCTTCTGTGGAGCTCGCACCAAAGAGTCGAATGACCCGAAGGACAATCCGTGGAAACTTATGAGCAGCACAAACTCCTTCGAGGACTCGGTGACCCATGTCGATGATATGCAGGACTTCGCGACTATGGCAGAGTATATAATCGTGGCGGCCAAGGACGACAAGGGCGAGTTGACGCTCAGATCGAGTATTGACGGAAAGACATTTGCCGATGCTCTGTTTCCCTCCAATTTCAGGGTTCCGCATCAACATGGATATACTGTTCTGGATAGCTCCACCCACTCCATATTCTTGCACGTCACGGTTGATACTACGACCGATTTAGAGTATGGAGGCATCATCAAGAGCAACTCTAACGGGACGTCTTATGTTCTCAGTCTGAATGGCGTCAATCGGGACAGGGCCGGATTTGTTGACTTCGAGAAAATGTCGAAACTGGAGGGTGTTGCGTTGGCTAATGTTCTTACCAACTATGAGAGCGTTTCGAAAGATGGCCACAAAAACCTCAAGACGATGATCACGCATAATGATGGTGCTGAGTGGCGCTGCATCACACCGCCAGCGAAGGACGTTGAAGGCAAGAAGTTTTCATGCAGTGGAAGCCTTCAGAAATGTTCCCTCAACATACACGGATACACTGAGCGCGCGGACAAGTCACACACTTACTCGTCACCTAGCGCCGTGGGAATCATGCTTGCCATCGGCAATGTGGGTGAATCGTTGCAGTCGTTTGATAAGAGCGACACATATATTACGCGCGACGCAGGCGTTAGCTGGACACAAGTCAAGAAGGGATCCTATATGTGGGAATACGGTGATCAAGGGTCGATTATTGTCCTAGTCAACGACCGCAAGGAGACGGATGTAGTGCACTACTCACGCGACGAAGGGGATACCTGGACGGAATACAAGTTCTCCGACTCGAAGGTGCGCGTGCAGGACATCACCACCCTTCCATCTGATAACTCTCGCAACTTCCTACTATGGGTAAAGGCCAGCGACGGCGTTAGGACTATCAATCTCGACTTCACTGGCCTATCAGACAGACAGTGCGTGCTCGACGAGACACGCGATGAGAACGAAGACTACTATCTCTGGTCGCCGCGCCACCCGACACAGGAGGACAACTGCCTCTTCGGACACATTTCGCAATACCACCGCAAGAAGGCCGGCGCCGATTGCTACAACGGCCACATCATCGAGGCTCTGCACAACATCAAATCGAACTGCACCTGCACACGCCAGGACTTCGAATGCGATTACAACTACCAAGCACTAGCTGGCGGGGAGTGTCTCCTCGTGCCCGGCCTCACCCCAGTCGACCGCATCCAGGAGTGCCGCGCTAACCCCGACCAAATCGAGTACTACGAGCCTACAGGCTACCGCCGCATCCCTCTCAGCACGTGCGAGGGCGGTAAGGAGATGGACAAGATCGTAGCGAAGCCGTGTCCGGACAAGGAAGATGAGTTCTACGAGAAGCACGGTCTGGGCGGCTTCTGGATCTTCCTTATTTTGCTGTTCAGCATTGGGGCGGCGGGTGCGGCGGGCTGGTGGGTGTATAACAACTGGGCTGATAAGTTCGGCCAGATTAGGCTTGGTGAACAATGTATGTATCCCCCTTCCTACTTATTCTCCCTGATCTCGCATTTCTACAGCGGATCGGGCATACAGAAGCATAAGCTAACTACCGCCACAGCATCCTTCGACGAAGAATCCCCCTTCATCAAATACCCCGTCATGGCCGTAGCCGGCGTCGGCGCCGTCATAATCGCCGCCCCCTCCGTCGCAAGCAGCGTCTGGGGCTGGCTGATGAAGACCGTCGGCGGGCGCAGGGGGACGCGTTTCACAACGCGGGGAAGCTTTGCGAGGGGCGCGGATTACACGGCTGTGGATGAGGATGAGGGGGAGCTGTTGGGGGAGGATAGCGATGATGAGATGTAGGAGGGGAGGGGGTTTGTGTGCGTGTGCGGCTGTACATTATGGGTTTAGACCGGGTCGGTGGAATGGGGTTTTTTTTGGGTGGATTTGAGGGATTCGGGGGGAGGGTGAAAAGGGTGCGGGATGGGTGGTGCTGTGTGGGTGGTCAGCAGCGCGACGGCGAGGATGTGATGGGGGCGAAGTTGATATGATGGGTTACGTATCAATCGCTGCGGGCGTAATGCTGAGGGTAATCAGTTCAATGTATAACCATGTTTCACACGCTCCCGAGTCATGCTATCGTTCGTGCTACCTATCGTAACGTGTGTAAGTATGTGCGAGTATCCCCCCTCCCCTGGCGCTTTGGGGGCTGGGCTACACATCGTTCCTGGCAGCGAGTACAGTGGGAGCAAGAAATCGGCTTATCTGACCACCACCAGGGAACACGTCAGGCAGTGGGTCTCATACAATAGAATTATAAGGCGTAGGCCCAAGGTCTCACAGGAGTCCAGGGAACCAGGTTAGAAGGCAGGAAAGGATCGTATTGTAAGCTCAATAGGTCTACGTAGATACAGCGACTATTGACTGGAGTCCTTCTTCCGAGGCCTGTACTCCCCATCCGTGCATATACTAGGTAGGTGGCTGTTGTCTCACGCATGTGGCACGGAGGATCCCCCCGCCGTAAGAAGCTGCTGCATAGCTACTAGCCAAGGCAGGCATGCAGGCGGGGAGGAACAGGATTTTCCGATTTTTTTTTGGGGGGGGGTATCTTACTCCGTCTGTACTGTACCTGATTGAAATCTGTACCCGAATAAATAGAGATGGAGCTATTGACCTTGACCATGATAATACCCCCTTTTAAGCCGAGCGCACCGGATGCAGGATCCATGACCGCGGTGGTGCGGGATGGGATGGGGGCGTATTGGGTGTTGGGCGAGAATATTGGCGGGGCGGGCGTGTTGGTATCGATAGTGTATCTATCTGCCAACGACGAAAGGGAAGAAAGAGCTGGTGTAATGCATGAGGGGGAGATATGGGTGGTAGCGGTAGGGCATCATATGAAACTCGGCCGGTTTCGGTTCTCGCGATTATCTGCCTGGCTGGCTGGTGATAATCGTGTGTGGTGTTCCCATTGCACGACTTGGGGATGATGCTGATATGGGAGATACCATCGGGACGGTGTTTGGTGGGTTTGGGTTGGGGAGCAGGACGCGAGAATAGGGGGCGTGGTGCAGGGGGGGATCTGTGCTTTTGGCTGCCATGGCGAGTTTATTGGGGGAGGGCGGGATGGGAAAAACGTGTGGAGATGCGGTAATGATATGTCACTTTGGAGATGTCGAATGACGACTCGGAAATCCGGGTGAGGTGCTGGAAGGGAAGGGATGGAAAAGCCACCTGGACGCCGACACAAACATCGTGATGATGATTGGCAAGAAGAGATGCCACGCAGACAGCGTGGGGTGAGCTTCTGGTTAAGTCCTCGTGGCTAATTGGTCTCCTGCTCGTCATGCTGGCAGCCGACGAACGCGGTTTGAAACAGACCCGCGTTTGTTGGAGAGAGGGATTGTCAGCCTCATTGCGTCGTTTTTAGAACGAAATCTATATCTCGCTATATCAGGGATTACACACCCGAGTCTCGAAGGGGTGGCTCCCAGATTGCCGGAACTTGTGTACAGAAGCCCAGTAGTTCTCGGCCGTGCTGTACATAGCGCTACCTAACAGTTGCCGTAAGTTATGCCGTACAGGTAGCCTGGACACCGAACGGGCGACAAACTAATAAGGGCAACAAACTAATAAGACGGCGTTGGCACAGGCGTTGTAGAGTTGGTGTTGGCGTTGACGTTGGCGTCGGCGTTGGCGTTGGCGTTGGCGTTGGCGTCGGCGTTGGTTTTGGCGGCTCCAGAGCGGAATCTGGGGCCGGCCCATTTAGAATGGCGGTCAGCGAATCAGACTCGTCGTCACCGCCGGCGCCGCCAGACCGCCAGACTGTGTGTGGGCGGGCGGGGACTGTTAGCTGTTGTTGGCCTCGTAGGCGCCTCTATTGGGCATGCACGTTGGCAAGAGAGCAGTTAGATCGCCGACGCCATGTCTTGGGAGTTTGCGGTGCATATCTGCAACGCCGTCCTTCTCGTCCGGTCACGGCATACCAAGGGGAAAACGTACGCCGTATTTCTGTGGGATGCAAACGCGTCAGATGTGGCGGCGACGTAAGCAAGTAGCCTTCGCCCCAGCGCGTGCGGGGATTCGGGGGGCGCACACGTGGCGGAGCCCCTACTAGTTCCAGGGGCAGGGCGGACCTGTTGCCGTTACATGCACCGAGCGGCTAGAGGAGAGGAGTTGAGTGATAAGGATAGGGATAAGGAAGGCTGTTGTGAGTGACAGTGCTGTTGAATAGGAGAGTTAAGGATCCATTGGATTGTGTCGAGTGCTGTGATGTGGTTGATTGTGATGAGATGCTGTGAGCAGTGGGGATCAGTGGGTATGTTGATATAACTTACAGGAATACAGCAGTGGTACCAAGTGGGTGCGACTAGAGTAAACTAGAGTGCAATCACCACCATCCCCGACCTGGATTATTTGTGCCGAATACTGTACTCTGTATGTTTGCAATCTGCTGTGATCGGCGTTCATATGTGATCGGCGTTCATATGTGATCCGGCGTTCATATGTGATCCGGCGTTCATATGTGATCGGCGTTCATATACCCTTCTGTCTACCTAGACAGAGTAGGTACTCCGTACGCATAACTGCCAAATCCGCGCTTAAATGCGCCCAATCGTCGAGAAATGAGACCACGGACACCAGCATGGACCAGGCATGGACCAGGGGGTCGTCGTCTCCATTCTCCCAATTCGAGATACTCTGGAGTATACTATACAGACAGGACTCCATCCTTCCTGCCTCATCCCTCATCCTTCCTACCTGCAAATACATATGACTGGTCCATTGCTCTTTCCTTCTGTAGCGCTGTCTCACCGCATGATTTGACTGATTGACCTGCTTCAACTGCATCGCATACGCATACGTACACTTACCCGGCCGGCCTTCTTTTCTCTACACAAGCCAGGCCGTGTGCGGAATCTCCGCTCGAAGCTGCAAAGCTGCCCGCCGTTGTGAGCTGTCAGTTACCCCGTCTCAGCCCCGTCCCCATAGGCAGCAAACCATCACTTTGCCACGAGTCGATAGCTTCAAACCAATACTCCTCGACTATTGGCGTGGAAACGCGGGACCACACATCGTTGCAGGAGAGTCGATTCTGTCACCCCCAGCTTCCTGCTTTTTGCCACTGTCATATTTATTCCCCCCATCATGTCGGTCTTGCATCCCGATCCTCTCGCCAGTTCGGGTCTTCATAATACGCAGCATATCCCACCCCGATCTTTTTACACCTCCGCCGCTCTCTCCGCATCCGTACCCTCGAATATCGACTCCAACCGCCCCGGCCGTGGTGAGATGTTTGCCGAGTTCGCTGGTCGACCATACTCATCAAGCGGCACCTCCATCCCAGCGGGACCACGAATACCTGGACCATCACGACGAAAGAACTTGAGCGAGATGATTGGAATAACGAGCGAAGAGGAGTTTGAACGCCTCCCAATTGCTGTTCGACGCAAGGTATGTGTGTTTTGGGAGTCCCTTTCTTGTCAAGTGTAACCTGAGACCATGTGTCTCGGCTAAGAGTCCGAGTTATCACACCAGAATCGGTGAATGTGCTGCGCACACGAAGGCACATGTTGATATCTTCCGTGCTCTGATGAGTTGCAGGGCTATAGCGTTGTATTGTAGCGTCTTGCCTAAATGTCTGGCCGGCGGCACCAACTCTCGTGTGCCTCGTACCTGCAGATATGATACGACCCCCCTTTCATTTTCTTCCACAGCATTTCAATTTCGCAAAACACCATACTAATTGTTCCTGTTCAGTATTTCTCGACATTGGAAAGACTGCGACTTTCCCAGAATTCTTCGTCGGCACCCAGCGACCTCAATCTTCCTGTCTCGAGAAAACGTCCCGTTGCACGACGACGACTAAGGAAAAAGTCAATCGCGAAGTCAATTCCACAACCCTTTACTCTCTCGCCCACCCCCCAACAATTACGAGGGTCTCGATCAAAACCCGTCACTGCTGCAGAGGTTGCGTGGTTCATGTCATTGCCAGACAAGATTCGCAGAAAACAATTCACTAAAGAAGAGCAACTTTACTTCACCAGCCGGCGAGATAGCGTTATCCTCGACGCAGCGGACGAGGCCATTTACAAATCCAGTCGTCGGAATAGGACCGTTACTCCCATAAGCCAACTGCCACCAAGTCCGACACGATTAAGTATGGATTCGTCAATTGGAAGTGTAATGTCGGAACGCCCCACCAGCATCGCACTAGCAATGGAGGAGAGCTTCCGGTGGATCGATGAAGATAACGACTTGGACCTTCGACTAGTTCTCGATGATTATCACGCAAATCTTCCAGGAACGGTCATCCCCGACCCCGCATCATCCGTTCGCCCCTCTTTTCGCCGTCACATCTCCATCAGCAAGATTCCTTTCGGTCGCTCATCACTCTCACCCCCGGCACGTGCCGCTTCAATTTCCGGTTCGTCGCAGCCACCGCCAACGCCCTCTAGGGCACCTTCAAGAACGCTCTCCAGGGCAGCCTCCCAAAGCCAAAGCCACACTCGGCAACGGTCTCGGGCCGTGTCCCTCATTAGCCCACGGTACACACCAGAATCGCCTCGAATGCCCATAGATCGCTATGCAACCCACTATCAAGACCCGGAAGCTCGCCTGAAGCTGCGCGTCTATCTCGCCTCTCCCCAGAAGTTCGACGAAGCCATCGAGTTCGGCTTCCCTAGCACAGATGGTGTTTCGGATCCATCTGTGGAAAAGAAAGTGATACATCCCCCGAACATCCGCGTCACACGGGACAGCGCCCACACGGTCCGTCCCGCGGTCCTCAGTCCGAGTCCACACACATTCTTCGACGACGTTGGAAGTCTCTTGGACGATGATGTGTCGATGCCCGACCTCGATTCACCGCTTACGCCGATGGACGGCAGCTTCCAAGCTCCCCGTGCGAGTCACGGGAGGCTGATGAGCCTCGGTGGTTCCGGTGCTGACGAGTTCATGCACTTTGGGATCCGCAAGCCCATGCTGCACAAGCACACCGAGAGCTACAGCCTGGCGAGTGCGGGGAGTCGAGAGATGACCCTTCGGATGACTCTTACACGACCTGATCTCAGAGCAGATGAGGGGACGCTCTACGGATGGCAGTGGCACGGGCTGGGACTGGGAATTAAAGAGAAGACTAAGAGCCAAATTACCCTGGACTCCCTGCCAATGGAGGAGAAGCTTCCCATCATGCGTGGACCCCTAGAGGGACCTGATGGCTGGGGCCTGCAAGACAAAGACGACAGCGTCGTCAAGCGGCTATGGAACCGCGTCCGCAGCGGCCAACGGAAAACAAGCACAGGCTCTGGATACTAGCCTAGACGGCGCGCGCCTCAGAGAGTTTGTTTCCTTGCGCGGTATTCGGTGGGACAAACAAACAAATTATGAGCATTTTTAGCGAGTTTTGATTTATCTTGAATATTACTTCATTTTATTTTACGGCCAGCGGTTTGCGATACCCCCGATTTATTCTTGGGGAAAGACCACTCTTTGTTTGGGTAGGGGGGGGTTGGATTCGGAGTGGGTGAGCGGGGTCAATTGCGATCCATTGTACAGTATCAATAGCCAGTGCGGCACCCGATTGTCATGGAAACTCTTCCTTTTTGTCTTTTTTTTAGGGAGGGGAGATGGCCATGGGTTGGTTAGGTTGGGTTACATACCGAACGGCAAGGGGGGATGACATATATGAAGTACATAGTCAAAGTATTTTCTAATCATCAAGACTTTGTCACGCCCATTTTTACTGCTCCCCCTATTTTTTTTTTGCTTGAGCTGTGCGATTGGATGCCTGTTGTGCGCGGGGAGATGCAGGCGGTGAGGGGGGGGATTGTCGGTGTGTTTCGGGGTTGCGGTATGTGGTGTGCGAGGTAAATCAGGGGTGATGGGGGGGGGAACCTGGACTGAGGGGTTTACTTGGAGTTTACTTGGCGGGGTTCGTGGAGCAAGGGAGCGTAGTGTACAAAGTCGTAGTGTGAGTCCGGATATGTGGGCTGTGTTTCGAAGTTTGCTCGTGGCAGACTTATCATTTCTGGAATTGTGTCTGTAAGGGAAGGAAAACACGTGAGTGTGAGGGGGGTGTGATATCAAACCCCGATAAGGGGGGGTTGGGGTTGATTGCTAACTTCTCGCGACGTGGCTGGGTGATAAGAACTGAGGATGGGGATAGGTGTAGAACAGTAACTCCGAGGTTGAGAATGGCGTACAGGCACTGTTGTTAGATAAGTGGTTGGTTTTATAGAAAACTGGAAGATTTAGAAAAATGAAGCTCAGAATATTCAAGATTTTGGTGGTGAGTTATATATAAGCTCGATGCGACCATTCTTGCGCAGATTAGCGCTTACTAGAGCCGAAAGTGCGCCATCTTAAAACTTTAACTTTTATGGTTGCCGTAACTTTTAACACGCGAGTTAGTCAGGTTGGTTGGTTAACCGATAAGGCGATAGTGTGTGATGAAGTATGGTAAGCGAGAATTATTCCGACCTCGGCTCCTTTAGCTCAGTGGTAGAGCGGGAGATTGCAGATCTTCAGGTCGATCGTTCGAACCGGTCAGGGAGCTCGGATTTTTTATATTTTTTTGTGTTTTTTTGAAGGTTGGTATGGGATGTTTTTGGTTTAGAGGGCTGGAGGGGGGGAGGTTTGGCGGGGTTATTTTTTGTCTCATGTCACTGAGATATGGATCCAGGCGGGGGATGATACTTTGTGATAGATGGATAGTTTGGGGTATTGAACTTGAACATATAAAAAATAAACCTATAACGCCGTACCGCCGTACACCTAAGACATTGCCTCCGCCATGATTCATAACGTCTCCCTCCAACCCCTCTCCCCCCACAGCACCTTAAAAACCCCAACACCCCCCTTTTAAATCTTCTCAACAACCACCGCCGTCCCATACGCGCAAACCTGCGCAAACCCACACAACTCGGCGGCATCAAACCTGAGCGCAATAACCGCATTGGCCCCCCTCCCCATCGCCTCCCCCACCAAGCGCTCCTGCGCCGTATTGCGCGTGTGAACATCTTGATCTCGCCGCCGACGATGGAGCGCAGGATGGCGCCTATGTCGGCGCCCCAGTTGCGGCTCTGGACGGTGAGGCCGTAGACTGTGCCGAGGACGGAGGTGACGCGGTAGCCGGGGATGTCGTTCATGGTGCTGACGATGAGGCCGTGGGTGTCGACGTGGGAGGAGGGGGATTCGGAGGCGAGGGCTTTGGCGTCTTCGGTTTTGCCCATGATGGTGGTTGGGGGGGTTGGAGGTGGGTTGGAGTTGGTAGTTGGAGTGTTGGGTTGTGAGGGTTTGTTATAACTTTTTGTTATAACTTGTGGTTGAGGTTGATGTTTGATATTGGTGCGGGGTTCTGGAGTGTCTTGCAATCCTGAGTTGCCGATTAGAGAATCAACTGTCAAGCAGAGCACTTCAGGATATGGAGAAGAGATAAAGTATCATTCCGGGGAGATACTCCAACCTGCTTATATACCTCTTCGCCGCCAGCGACAACGCGACATGCTTCCTAATCCAGAAACGGCATTACAGAGTTCAGCCTCGCGAAACCAGGGGTGTACGCAGCAATCGGCACGCCTTGTGCCGATCGCGACTCAGTGCGATTGGTAAATAAAAAGCGCAGTTGTCATCGCTTGAGGCAGGGTTGTCGTATCCCGTTCGCGTTGCCAGAGTGGGAAACTGGATCATTGCACGGCCTCAAATGAACGGGAATGGCCGTTCATTAGTTTTGGGGTTGATGTTTGAAGGTGAACTGGTCATATTGTCAGTGAGTGTAGATAGTAAACTCGCCACCGTTAGTCACTCCACACTGGTGTATCTCGTAAATATCCTGATAGGGGAGAGTGCATGATGTCTAGAGGTGAATAACTTGGATCTCTTGTGTGACTGTCGATTGCAACCTTACACTGATGGAAATCACGTGTCGATAAAATGCTGGAAACCTGTTCGAGGTATCGTCGAACAAGAAGTTGGCTCTGGTTTGCAAAAGCACTGACGTGCATTTTGAGGCTGGACATGGTGCAGGCCGGACGAACGGGCAAGGAGGGTAGAGTTATATCAACGAACCGTATATGTCCAAGCAAATCCACCAGCATTGAGATCCTATCAAGGGTGACCGGAAGAGAGTAGGAACTTGTAGTAGAGCCCATGTTGGGTTTATTCGTACCCCTGGTGGTTATGGTTCAGTGTCGTGTTCGCCAATATCTTGATATAAGTCTATGAACAATACCGGTAAAAGCACCACAACCTGAATGTATCCTGTAAAGCATCGTAGTAGAAGCAGGGGCAACTCTAGGACGGCTATTTCACGCACTAGTGCATTGAAGTGTGCAGCTAGGTAATACATGTTTGGAAGAGATATAAAAATTGACTATGGCACATGGGTTCTATTTGACAGTGACAAAAGGAAATCTCTATTAGGCCTCACTGCCATCTAAGCCTTTTGGGCAACAATTCCTGTTATTCATATTAGCATTGTTCGTTGTATGGTCTGAGTGTGGTGTGGACGTACTCTCAACGTCAATGACGCTCTGCTGGAGGATGTTTTGAAGGGTCTTTGGGTTCTCGAGCTCCCTCTGGATCTTGGCAATGATGGACTGCGCAAGCTCCTGCTGTTGGCGCTGCTTGACCTGTCCCTCGTAACGCACCCACGAGTCGAGGACGCTCTTGGCCTCAGCGGCAAGGGCAGTGGTTTGCTCGAGCTCGAAAACCTTGGCCTCGACCTGGGCAGTCTCCTATTTCGGGTCAGCAATCTGCACAAACAACGGGAAGTCTACAAAACGCACCTTGGAGACCTCGAAAAGAGACTTGGTGATGTCGACGACACCGCCCATCTGCTTGACGTTCTGGATGCGGGCGTTGACGGCCTCAGTGTGGTCGGTGCGAGCAGAGTTCAAGATGTCACGGATCTTGCTTATCTGTCCCTCGGCCCATCCGGAGTATGCTGGTCCAAGGTACTTGCCAACAGCGAAGAAGATGGCGAGGAGCGAGAAACCGACGACGGACTCCTCGTTGACGACATAGTACTCGTTGCTGAGAGCGAAGATGGACGCGCCGGCTCCGGAGGAGAGGATGGCGGCCTTGGAGACCAGGGAGTTGCCTGGAAGAGAATCGAGGATCGACTGGGCCTTCTTCTTTGGCTCCTCAGCGGGGACGCTGGAGTTGTATCGGGCGGTGCTGGCCAGAGTTGGAAGAGCCCGAACCGTAGCGGTTGGTCGGAGACGTGCGGCCCCTGTTTTGTCGCCGTCAGCACATCGCCTACGGCTTCAATTGATCCATCGCCGATTGCCCGCGACTGGGACTACATACCAAGGGCGGTCTTTGCCACGCGTGATGCCATTGTGATGAGAGGGGGGATGATGCAGAGCTTGTGGTCTTGTCGTGAAGAACGGGAACCGACGTTAAAGCTTCCTCGCTTCGGCTCGGAATAAAGCGTCAAGTCACGTGCAGGCGAGGCTGAACGAAATTCCAAAAAAGTTTTGGGAAAGAGCCTCACCATCGAGACGGCGCTCAGACACGAACACCAAGACAATTCAACATGCCGTCAATAATAAAATCCGCTGCTGGTGCAGCGAAGAGGAAGAGAGTGGATTCCCAGCGAAAACCTGCGAAGCGCGCCAAATCGGAGAGCAGCGACGACGAAGACGATACCCAGGCGCAAATCCTCTTACTTGAGAGCGAAATTCTCGAATCAAAGAAGAATTACAACAACATTCCGAAATTAATTAAGCTACTGGAGTCTGAGGATGCAATTATTGCCTCAGTTGCATTATGCCGAGTCTTTTCGAGACTTATTGCGTCAGGAGAGTTGACGAAGAAGGCGGGGAGCTCTAAGAAAGACGAGGTAGTTGTGGCATGGCTGAAAGAGCGGTACCTGGAGTATAAGAGCGGGCTATATGAGCTTCTTGAGTCACCGGAGGTTTCCCAGACGATTCTTGCACTATGCATGCGCATGCTGAAGACCGAGGGCACATACGTGAAGAATGGCCAGGACTATAACTTTCCCTCGTGGTTCCTCACCGACCTGGTCCGAACACTCTTGGGTTTAGAGGATGGAGAGGATGTGCGCAAGGAGTTCGCTGAGAAATATGTCGAGGAGTACGACGATATTCGGTTTTACACCTTCGAAGCAATTGCGAAGGTTCTTGGGGAAGAGGGTCAGCTTGTGGACAACGCCGTTGGAATCCTGGCTATCGTCGAGTCTGTACCAGAGGATAAAGACGAGTTGGAAGACTTCTACATAGCCGCACCCACGAGGGCCTCGCACACACTCTACTCCTTGTCGGCACACAAGAGGCAGGCACAGGCTGCCTGGCTTGCAGTCCTGAAACAGGATTTGACAAAGGAGCAGCGCAAGAACATATTAGGGATGATGAGCTCTTATATTGCGCCTTGGTTTATTAAGCCAGAACTGTTGATGGATTTCCTGACGGATTCTTACGATACCGGCGGATCTACATCACTGCAAGCGCTTTCCGGCGTATACTACCTGATCCAAGAGCGAAACTTGGACTACCCGCTCTTCTACAGGAAGTTATATTCCTTACTCGATTCTGGCATTCTTTACTCGAAACACCGCTCCAAGTTCTTTCGCCTGTTGGATACGTTTATGTCTTCTACACATTTGCCCGCTGTCCTCGTGGCAAGCTTTATCAAGCGCCTGTCAAGGTTAGCACTGTACGCTCCTCCTGCTGGAATTGTTGCGGTGGTCACCTGGATCTATAATTTCCTCAAGAAGCATCCCACCTGCACATTTATGATCCACCGTGAGGTGAAAGGTGCAGAAGAGCTTCTCGAGGAGGGTATGGAAGATCCGTTCCTGGAGGACGAAGAAGACCCAATGGAGACCAACGCCATTGAAAGCAGTTTATGGGAGATTGTGACATTGCAGTCACACTATCATCCCAACGTTGCGACTCTGGCGAAGATCATTTCAGAGCAGTTCACAAAACAATCATACAACCTGGAGGATTTCCTCGACCACTCGTACGGAAGTGTAAGTCTAGTTTTTAATTGTATTAAGTGCATATGCTAACTCTGTTGTTACAGATGCTTGACGCTGAGCTTTTGAAGGAGGTGAAGAAGACGCCGGTGGTGGAGTTTGAGATACCCAAGAAGATCTTTACCAAGCAAGATGCCTCTTCGGAGGTGAAGGACAGCCTGTTGGTGAAGTTGTGGAAATTCGAGTAGAGATATTAGGTTAGGGAGGTCTATGGCGTACATAGAAATATAATGACCTGCATCCGAATGATGTATTCGCAAGAAAGGTAACATTTGATGTGCACGTTGTCTTTGTGCAAGGCGCCTCAGAGATCTCATATATTATGAAGCTGGAACTAACATCATGATAACATCAGATCAATCAACAATATAATAGCCCCCGAGTCGAGAAGTTTCAATAACACCTATAATTATGCTTATTTTCCTGCATTCTACCTGCTTAATATTGCCACATAGACAGTGGCTGTCCCTTTGCGCCTTCAATGCAACCCTACCAACAGATCCTCGCTCCCCCCCTCTCTGTAAGCATCGCGCCCAAACTCCTCCCATGCAATTATGCGACATCCTCAAACTTGAGATCATCATCCTCATCGTCGTCTACATCCGCCATGTCCGAGTCATCGGGCTCTTCCGTCTCGGGGGCTGCATCAGCAGTCGACTCGTCGATGTTCATTTTGTACTCCTTCTTCAGCGTCCAGTGCATGGCAAACCGTCCACTTCGCGGCATGTCTGCTACCTTCTCCAGCGTTTCCCTTAGATACGCTTCTGGCTGCTGCAGCTTCGCCCTCAGCGCCTTCATCGACCAGAAATTATACTCCTTGAAGCACTGGAAGATATGATCCAACAGCTCGTTCTGAGGCATACGAGCAGTCTTTGTGTCCTGGCCAGATTTCGACTTGAGCGCTCCAGTGTTCTTGATGAAGCCGCCAAATGCCTCCTGGGCACGAATAGTTCCAGGCTGGATGAAGCCTGCCTCCCGAGACCGCGTGCCGGAGAGGAAAACTGTGCGGTTTCGTGGTTGCATGGCGGCGATCGTGCGTTGGGCCAAGAGGCGGTTTGTCTCGGGGTTGTCGACGGGCACGCAGTTGATCTCGTGAGCGACGCGGCCGGCGAGCGTGGTCTTCTTTGGGATAGCACGCTTGTAGTATGGCTGGAAGCGCTTCTTGGGATCCCATGGCTGCTTGTCGGTTGGCTTGTCGGACTTAGGGCGGGTGAGGCGCGCCGGGAGGTTGGCGGTTGCCGGGTCAAAGCCCTTGCGTGATTTGGACTTGAAGCCAGGAAGATCTTGTTCCGTGAAGACGAATGTGTTATCCACAGTCTCTGCGGTGATATCCAGGCTGAACTCTTTCGGGACCGCTTGATGTTGCGCCAGGTCGGGCCGGAGGAGCATCGTCAGGCTCACCTATTCACAGTCAGTGGCAAGTCAAGTAGAAGAAAGTTGTGATATTTACATCTTTTACGCCATCACTATTCGTGTTCACAGTCTTTCTGACCGTACCCAGCCGGATCTCAGCGTCATCATCCAAGTCGTTCCAGTGCTCCCAGAGGTACTTTGGCACTCGCGCGAGATATACGTTCTGGAAGTTGGGATCGGTGCTAAACTCTAGGTCCCCAGCATCCTCAAAAGCTTCCGAGTCTGCGAATGATGCGGGGGAGGCCCCTATGGTGTCGGGGTCACGCTTGATGTATGGATCTTGCTTAATGTGAGGCTCCGCCATTGTCCTGACAATCTGGTGAATTCAGCGGACGTTTTCCATGGAGCTGTAGGCAACTCGTATGGCCAGGACAATATGTATATTCCCTTCCCTTGCCGTGCTCACAATCTTCACAAGTGAGCGAAAGAAGGTTGAAAGAGACAAAGCCGAGAGCTTGTGGCGAGACCTAAGAACCAGGCTGAGGAGCGCGGAAGTTACTCACTGAAAAGGGTTTAGCTCTCTTTTTGCCTGTATTTGCCGCCTTCCAGTGCAGCAAGCTAAGCGCCACTTCGCGCATCTTCAATCATCATCACTTCATCGATCCTACGGTTTTGGTTCAACATTTACCATCAACCACGACATAATTTGGAACAGAACACAGAAGAAACTGCTGGCGAACAGGATCTTGCAAATATGGAGTCCGAACAGGAGATGATGACCAGGATCAGTAAACTGGCAGGTAATTCGGCCCTGAGACTTATTGCTGGAGCAGAACAAACTCACAAACTTGCAGGTCAGATAAATCGCCACAAGAACCAACAGCCAGCCAGCGCATCGGCGTCAAACTTTCAGGCACAACCTGGGGCGCCCTATCCTACTCCAAACTGTACGTATTCACCAACTGGAAGCCCATGAGCCTGATCGAAACCACTAACAACCACGCAGATAATGCCCACGCGAGTCAAGGCCGACCACCTTCGCGTGGCGGTTACAGCAGAGGTAGAGGATATTATCGAGGAGGCAAACCGAATACCATCCACCGGAACAGAACACTGGTCCTGAACAACGCAAACACGGGATCGAAGGCGGACGGCGCCCAGGATGACAGTTCTGGGGCGGCAGCAACAGCACCAGCATGGGTCACGAAAACAGATCGCCACATGCAGCTGATCAATCCTGCGATATACGAAAAGCAGAGCCAAGATCGTGCCCGCGCTATAGAGGAGACGCGCAAGCTGAGACTGAAGCAGCGGGACGACAGGGAGAAGTTCAAGTTGAGCAAACACTTGGAGCGACTGAGCGACAACATGGCGGGCCACAGCGCAAATCAGCGCGTCGCCCAAGCCTTACCGAACTACGAAATCATAGTGCAGGGCATACGCTTCCGCGTCATGAAGGATGGCAGCAAACTGGCCAAGGTGGCTGGCGACGAGAACACCGCGAAACTAACCCCGAAGTCGGCGACCGTCGGAGGCGTCCGCTTCTACCGTAGCAAGAACGGCAATCTCTACCGCTCTGGCATCCTCAAGGCGCAACGGTACGACCTTTGCGCAGCTTCGTCGCGTGACACCCCTCACCGTTCCACAAGGACAAGACTAACACACTCGCACACTAGGAAACCCGCGGCCATCAAAAAGATAGATGAGCCGTGTAGGCTCTTCTCCACGACCGGTACCTCACCTTCCATCACCATTCCCAACTACTACCCCCAATACTATTCCCGAATTGCCAATCCCGGTAAGCCCGCACACAAGACTAACTGACAAATCTAGGCGTCTGTCCCAAGGGTCCACGCTGCCGCTACACCCACGACCCGACAAAAGTCGCCATATGCAAGGACTTCCTGCAGACAGGCACCTGCGCCGCAAGCGACTCCTGCGACCTCTCGCACGAGGCGACGCCGGAGCGCACACCCGCCTGCCTGCACTTCGCGCGGGGCAACTGCGCCAACGAAAACTGTCGGTACGCGCACGTGCGGGTATCGGCATCGGCGCCGGTGTGTCGCGCGTTTGCTGTGTACGGGTACTGCGAGCGGGGGGCGGAGTGCGACGAGCGACATGTGGTGGAGTGTCCTGAGTTTAGCAGGACGGGAGAGTGCAAGACGAAGGGGTGTAAGCTGCCGCATCGGCTGAAGGCGAGTATACTGCGCAAGAACGCGGCGATGGAGGGGGAGGAGGGGAGCGATCTTGAGAGCGAGGAGGAGGAGGGCGAGGAGATTGGGAGTGACGATGTGGATTCTGATGATCTGGAGGTGCTGGGGCTGGAGGGGGAGGGGGATGCAGAGATGCTCGAGAAGGATTACGTGCAGCTGTGATGGGTGCTCGTTCCTCGTCATAGGCAACTATGGCATGCTAATATTTAGGTCTATGCGCCCGGTTACTGGACACCCCCACCTCGTCTGGAAGAGAAGTATCCCGCTATTTTCTTTTTTCTCCGTCCCCATCATTGGAAATCTGTCTACTCTAGATATCCTACCTCGCCTTAGCATTTCCTTGCTTTGCTTGCTTGATTGCGTGTTTGGATGGTGTTGATTCCGAACCTCGCTTGGGAGCCCACGGAGGAAGTTTTGGACGGGGAGGTTGAGGATGGATGGACGATTGATGAATGCGAGATGATAGATACCCCACCCCCTCATTTGAGGCGAGGAGTTTTATGAGCTGCGTTTAGTTTGGCGGCCCTTTTCTTTTGTTTCGCGTGTGCAAGGGGGCAGGCAAGGGGGAGAGGAATGAAAAGTGAAAAAATAAAGAAAAAAAAAGTGAAAGAGAAAGAACAGCACACTCCCAAGGGAAGAAACCATAGGAGAGAAGATACAATAATAAAAACCACAATTATTTTAAGAAAATCCAAGCGCACAATATCAAGTATAGAATGGAAAGTGCGTCCATCGCGCCTTCCTCATATCCCATATCCCATTCTCCGAACATGGAAGGAAGCGTGTCCCGATCGTGCTTTCCCTCTCTAGAATCTGCGATGGATGATACGTGCAGCATGTACAAACAATCGGTCCTCGCAGTGCATGAAATAATTTGATTTGATTCCATGAACTTGGTCCGTCTATCTAATACGCCCAGTCTTTCTCAGAGGGAGACCACGCAAAATGTCCACTTCCTACCACGTTCATGGTACTTATCGAGATGGGGCGGAGGGGTTTTCCCTTTGCGAGAGAACCAGACGAGTTCTTTCCACTCGCTGCTAGGCCATAACATCCTCTGAATTTTATTTGGTGGGAGGCTTTCGATCGCGGCATTCGGGATCTGGAGGCACACGATGACGACGGACTCGCAGACGGCACGTTTCTTGACATATGCAGCGTAGTATCTCGCAACCGTGTGGTCGAGCGCGAAGTAGAAACGGGAGCTAATGCCGCAGAAGTCTGATGGTGCTGAGCTCAAGAGGATCTCAATTTCAGCTACAGCGCCGCTGTCGTCGAAGAGCCCTGTGATGCGGGCTTGGTCAAGACCTTTGTACAGCGTGGTGTACCCAGGCGCATTGAGTGCTGCGATGGCGCGAGAGGAGCCACAGACGTCGGCCTCAATCCCGGCTGCGCCTTTTTGCTGAAGGCCAGAGATGGAGCGCTGTCCTTGGCTTGTCGATGATGTCGAGGTAAGACCAACGTTGCCTTGGTACCCGCTGCCTTGTGCATCTTCAGATCCGCTAGGAATGGGGGGGGCCGCCTGTTTTAGTTCTGCCTCTCGCGTGAGTGATGTGCGCTGGATTTCTTCGAGACCCGCATATCGCATTTCAATGGTGTCCTTAGCCCAGTATAAGCAGGAGTTTGTGCGCCGGAGATAGGTGAAGTTTGGATCCATGATAGCGTCTTGGGTCGCAGCATCAATACCACATGCATCTAGGCATTTGCGCCATTCGTGGTCGTCGTCGTCCCCCACCGCATCAGCCCTATTCGTAACTGACCACCCGATGATGAAGTCGTGAAAGGTGACTGTTAAACCGCCATCATCTGGATCGGTCTCACGGCGCGGGTCATACGGTCCCCTTTGCCAGTTTGTCCACTGGTTCCATAGCTCGTTGGCCTTTTGACCAGAGAGCCCCACGTAGATGAGAGTTTCGAGGGAGATGAGGACAGCAGGGATCGTTGCGAATGCATTTTGCGATGAGATGGGGGCCGAGAGAGGGATATCACTGTGCTCTTCATCGCTCGAGCGGTTCAAACAGCGCTTGTGAAGTCGTTGTGAGGAGGTGGTGTTGCCAGGACCTAACAAGCCGCGGTTCTGTAGGTTCGCCGCATCAAAGGGCGCGAGGATCGACTTGTTAGACATTTTGGATAGTTGATGGGAAGAGTTGATGTGATGAGGTTAATACTGCTAACTAGGTGGAGAGGAACTAACTTAAGACTATATATAAGAAGCTTGACTCATAAGTCTACTCATTTGGCTTAAAAGTTAGACGAGGACTATAAACAATAATAGTGATTATAGTTACTGTAATTAAAATAGAGGCTCTTAATTACTCGGGGACATATCACTTAGAGATGGAGCTAGATAGATGGTTCGACTTTCCTTATAAAAATGGCGACTATATTTATAACTAACTTACAGATATAAAGTTCAGAGCTAAAACTATACTGCTACTAGCTGCGCTCAATAAACGCGTACACATACTTGAGTTTATTAAACTCGAGCCAATATGGAAGGCATCTATGAATAAAAGACTAGACTTCTGCACGCCCTATATACGGGGTATGGAAGATGTTCGTGTGGAAACGCAGCATAATTGTGAGCTAACCTCAGATAGCCATATACATCTCCCTCTCTATAGTATCCTTGACCAACCGCTCTCTTGCCTGTAATATCTCTTGCTTCGATTTTTGATGCTTTTCATCAGTCATAGGTTGCTGATGAGCCGGGTTCAACATCACCGCCTGGGGAATTGTGGGCGCGTCATCTCGCTCTACGCTCTGTACAATGTCCTCTTCACCATTCTCCATATCGTCGGTCCCACCCTGAAGATTCCCGGAGGCGCGGCGCCTGTTAGACCACCGCCCCGCCGTATACCTTCGATCTTTTGTCCCCTTGGCCGTCAATGGAATGAAATCTGGATCGAGCTCATCCGACTCACCCCGAGACTTCCTCGAGGATTTGGCCTTTCGATTTTGAGAATTGCGGAGATTTGCAGTTCGCCAACTCGGTTTTGAGGCCACAGGCTGCCCTTCGTTTAATGGAGACCATGACCGAGTGACGCCCCCCGTGGCAGTTGCCGGATCAATACCTGCCGGCTTTGGCTCATATGCAGCATCGTCTGTGATATCACCGGTGGGTGCCATGTCATCGAGCTCGTCCACGTCCAGTGCAAGGCGGTCTTGAGAGACTGGAAGGAGAACATGAGAGAGGCGGGATGGCTTGCGGAGTGTAGACCCAGGTTGGACATGGGGCGCCACAGCAGCTCTCATATCTTTTCCTGAAAGACGTGCCTTTTTCGTTCGTTTATCATCCAGTGCGGGCGAGCTGGACATGTGCTTCTCAAATCCAGTAGAATTACGTTGTAATTGATCCACGAGTGGTCTGACATACGCCGAGGACTCGTCTTGGTGGCGCGCAGTTACAGGCAGAGGAGTGCTCGGCTGCGAGTCTGCGTATCTCCCGGCATTCCTCGTAATGTCTTCAGACCGCTTAAGCTTTATCTTCAAAAACTGGATCTCGAGCTTGAGGGAGTCAATTTCGTTGACTTTTTGGCTCAGCGACGTTATGCTCTCCGTTATCAAATCAACACCTTCAAATGATAGAGATCCTTCAGCAGGCTTAGCGACATTGGTAGAGCGGGATTCGTCGATTTCATCACGCAGCGAATGCACTGAGGCACGAACGTCATCCATCTCAATATTCGTTGGTCGTACTGTCAGTTCTCTCCGTACCATTGCCATAAAATCCTTGAAGCTGCGCATATCCGTCTCGATTTTGTTGACAGAGGCAGAAATTCGATCAATATCCCTTTTCTGGCTATCTATAGCCCCTTCTGCCCAGTCCGCAAATTGTGCGAGGTGCTGAAGTCGATCGGCATCATCTGCCTGAGGAAGGTGATCACTATCGGCTACCGCCAAATTGTCATCTTGGCCATTCATTTCGTTGCCGTTTTCCTGGGTATTATCATCATGCCCAATCTTGGGGCCATTTCTCTTGAGAGGATATGTATGTTTGATGACTGGTGTGCATGGTTTCCTGGTGGATCCTGAGATAACCATCATTTTATCCAGATCGAGAATGAGCTGATCCTTTCGAAGGATATGTCCTGGTGGAGCATCGTGACACAGCAAGCCCAGTTTTTCCTCGCATCCTACACAGGCGAGATCTTGCAGATAACTATCGTGGATTAGCAGATGGCCGCTTTGGTTATAATGGGTGATCGAAGTTTCCGTAGCAAGCCCAATAAAAGAGAGATTCCATTACCTATCCTCTATAATCGTTTCTGTCGGCGCTATCCTAACATCTCCAGAGTGCTGTAGACCAACGCTCCAGTCCTTTCTCTTCAAACTGACGGGGCTGAAATGCCTTCTGCCGATTTGGTTCCACAGGTTCTCAAAGTCGCCGATAAAAGTACCGCATTTGGCACAGCTGCATGTCACCACGTCCATGTTGCCTTTCCGCTCAGGTGTCTAGTATGCGCCTGTTGAGGTAGATCATACAATGGTTTTTTGCGTCGTTGGTGGCTATAGAAGGCACGTGGTTACTGGGCTCGGTGTTCACTGGTATGGAGTCTGTCATCTACAGACATGAAATTATTAACAATCAATAACAAAATAATGGGACAGATTCAATTGATCCATACCTGCTATACCCTGGCGCATATCAATCTGTTGCCCAAACTTGTGAGATTTGCAGCTATTTTGTTGCCACAATTGTTCCTCGATAAGAATCAATAGTTCGCGGGGTTGAAATGACGATCTGTGGCGCTTATCCGGTAGCACTGAGCTCTGATACCCGTTTACTCAAGTTTGAATTACAGTGTCCGTCGTTAAAGGTTGCTATAAACCCAAGGCTGTTGGAAACTCTTGTGCCTGGCAGGTTCGTGTTGTCGCGTCTGTTCACGCGCCTTCCCTCCTTTCCTTGCACCTTAAGCTCTTATCGGAGGTAACCTTGGATCCCGACCTTTTCACCGCCTAGAATCGAGCGGCAGAATCGACTCGTACTTCAAAGTTTCAGTCTGTGATCTGGACCTTTGTCAATCAACTCAACAATCGCAAACCAGACTTTGTGGTATTTGACCATGGGATACAATGACGGACCTAGGAGGAATAAAAACCACCACAAGCAATCGGGAAATTCACATCAGTCAGAACACGACGGAGGCAGCAAGAGGAAACGCGACGATCGCGACGACACCGATTCAGGCATAGGCAGCATGGGACAAACACTTGCGCTCCTGCAGCAACCCGATTTGCCAACCTTTAATTTGATCTCAAAAGAAGCGCCGAAAGAAGATGGCAAGGGAAGTGAGGAGAAGAAGGGAGAGGGTGCTGAAGGCTGGGAAACCGTCAGGGAGCGTCCAGCAAAGAAGGCAAAGAAGATTCCGAAGCCTCACTCGTTGAACTACCCGTCTATAACCTTTTCAGCGGACTCAAGACTACAGTCACAGATCAAGATTAGTGACTTACAAAATCTTGTATTATACCTACTTGCCGACGGCTCTGGACCACAATGGGTTTCTGTTCGCCATCGACCGGAGATACGAAAGGTTGTTGTTTTAATGGTTCCTGGACTGGAAAGGGAGATGTTTGGGTCCAAATCCTCCAGCGATGGAGATAAGAAGGAGAAGGAGAAGGAGGCAGATGGAAACAATGGAGCGAATCGGGGAAATGGAAGGCACACTTCGCCAGATGAATACTATCCTGTCAAGTTGGCGACCGACAAGCTTCCTCTTCAACTGGCCGAGTTTGGAAACATGTTTGAGTACCTGTGGCCTGTCAAGACGCCAGGAGACGACAAATTCAGCAAAATGCACTCGCCACTGCATGCAATGCTTACGGCGCCAGTGTCGAAATCGCAAGAAGACAAAGATAAGAAGGGTGCGAGACCAGCAAAAGAACCCCATGGGTGGGTGAATAAGAGGACACGCGTGACAGAGTACATCTCCGGACCAGATGAGCTGTTGGAAAACAAGTACACTCTACATCCTACTGTTTATACTGAGGAGGCCGAAAAGCAACACTTGAACGAGCAGAGAGTCAATGCTGGCACGTCAACAAAGGAAGGATGGGTAGACACGTTGGTTGACTCTTGGGAAGACGGGTCACCACCCGAGACTGAGATCGAGCAAGGTAGCATCACCGCTGGCCGAGAAGTCATTGCTATGGACTGTGAAATGTGCATGACGGGCGAACGCGAGTTCTCATTGACGAGAATCAGTCTCGTGGCATGGGATGGAACGGTCACTCTCGATGAGCTTGTTAAGCCAGCCAAGCCCATCATTGACTACGTCACTCAATACTCTGGCATCACAGAAGAAATGCTTCGGCCCGTCACAACTACTCTCCAAGACATCCAACAAAAGCTTCTCCAGATCCTCACACCACGCACCATCCTCATTGGACATTCCCTCAACGCCGACCTCAACGCCCTCAAGCTCACACACCCATTTATCATCGATACCTCACTCTTATACCCGCACCCTCGTGGAACACCGCTGAAGTCATCTCTTAAATACCTGGCTAAGAAGTACCTCGGCCGCGAAATTCAAAAAGGAGGTGGGACTGTAGGCCCCGGCGCAGGGCACGATTCGACTGAGGACGCTCGAACCTGTCTTGACCTAGTGAAGCAGAAGTGCGAGAAGGGACCGCAATGGGGTACTGGTGATGCTGCCAGCGAGAATATTTTCAAGCGGCTAGCACGAACCGGTGTTCGCTACAAGAACCAAGGTGGCACAGCTGTAGCTGGCCAAGCTGGTGCCAAGACCTCCGCAGCTATTGACTGGGGCGACCCAAAGAAGGGCGCAGGAGCGGCAGCAAACGTTATCATAGGATGCAAGAGCGACGAAGAGGTCACTGCGGGGACAATCCGTGCTATTGTGGGCGACATGGACGGCCTTGAAGTGCCAGGTGGGGGAGTGGACTTCGTTTGGGCCCGATTCCGTGAACTGGAGGCTCTCAAAGGGTGGTGGAACATTAACAAACCCGCAATGCCTACGATCCTTGCAGAGACATCGGCGCCTGGCCCGACGGCTACTGACGACCTGACGCCTCCTGTAGATGATTCTGCAATTGGCCCGACTTCAGACAAGGAAGCCGCTTCTCGTTTAGACTCGCTGTCGGAAACTATATCCCCTGCGCCGGATGCATCGCCTATTGCTGAAGCAACCGCTGCCCTTACGGCACGGATCCGAACCATCTACAATTCCCTTCCGCCATGCACAGCTTTCATTATCTACAGCGGCTCTGGGGACCCGCGCGAAATGTCAAGACTTCAAGGCGTTCAACAGACCTTCAAAGAAGAATTCAAGACAAAGAAATGGGATCAACTCAGTGTGAAGTGGACAGATGTGGAAGAGCAGGCGTTAAAGGCAGCTGCAAGAGAGGCTAGGAATGGGATCGGGTTTGTGACGGTTAAATAAGTACTATAGCTCTGTGGCTCATACTGTGAGACTATGATACAATCTTGGAATCTTCAGAATTAGACATTCAGTTGCGTTATCACGTGGATATGTATGTGAATAACCCAAAAAAGATAGAGGGGCAAGCGATAAGGAGCGATAACCACCCCATATGACTTCGGCGATGGTCACGCAACACCGGCTTGGGTGGACTGATTCGACTAAGCAAAGAGGTTGTCTACGTATATATCAACTCTCTTACTTAACTTTGACGTGTACCGTTGTATGATGCTGAATGGATTCATATAATATCATTCTCCCATGTTTGCTTTATACGATACGGTCACTGAGACGAGAATAAGGTGGGCACAGAAGATTAGCAGGGGGTACGCTATTGATAGATAGATCGCTGCTCACATCACCACACAGCCCACCGCCAACCTCCCACCTTTCAAGATCATCATAGAAGCGGTCAACAGCATTTGGCCAGCACCAAAGCAACTCGACCGTGATCGAGAACAAAGAAGAGGGCCACCATCAAGAGCTGGCACGATACAAATTCAACTTGAGAACGTCGATTTCGATTATAAAGAGTATCGCGATTGCGGGGTAAGTTCTCATATACATACCGACAGACAACTCTCGCGATGGCATCTTCAAGACATGGCCGTAGCCACGAAGATGACACAAGGCCTACCCGACGAACGGCTCGTACTTGGGACAATATAGCTCGCTCATCTGATGCTACCCAACGTTTGCGCAACGAAGGTATGTATTTTTTGGTTCCCTTATCCTGAGGAGACAGTTGCTGACTTGTGTCCCAACAGAATCCTGGGTCGAAATTTCATCTCAACCATCATCCTCATCCTTATCCTCCATCGACAACGAGATTGTAACAGCTGGGTTACGCGTCCAGTCTTCCACCTTACGGCGTGGACGCCGTCATGGCCCCGCCGGCGTATCTCGCATCTCTCAGGTTGTCGCCCAACGAAGCACCAGCAGCCAGGATGAATACGACGAATCCGAGTCCTCCTCCGACGACCGTGTTCTTACCAGCTCAAACGAGAATATCCACTCGGGACGCGTCTCTCCTAGACAGCAAATGAGACAAGACATCCACTTCCCGCCTCCGTCAGAGGACGAGGACGACGAAGATGAAGACGGCACGGCTCTGGGCATCACTGCACCAGCATTTAGTCCCCAGCCGAATGCCTTTTCCCATCCGCCAAACCAAGCACAAACGAGTAACAGGGCCTCCTTCGTTCCGCCTCGGCACTACCGCTCACCCCACCCCACCCACCAAGCAGCCAACGACGCCGCCCTCCGCGCCTCTCTCACAACACTCCTTTCCTGCGCCAAAGCGGCACGGTCATTGCCCAAACAGCCTTCACCGACGATGCAAACACCTGGAATCAACAACAGGAATGAATTTCAGGGCTTGAGACTGGTCCCTGAATCAGAACTCCTTGGCACACGGCCTCCACCCACCTCTCCCAACCTTGCGCCTGGACTGGGGAACGGCATCCCCAGCAGGAGATCACGCAGCAGCGCTACCGTCTCCGAAGACGAGAATGAGCGCGGAAGGCGGAAAACTACGCAGCAGGGCCGTTCAACTAAGAAGAAACGGGTTGCTGTCCAAAGTGGGCGCGAGCAGACACAGCAACTTCTCAGCCCAACGCTGCTGACATGGCTTGTAAGCGCTGGTGTAGTTATTGTAGTGTCCGCCGTTGGCTTTGGAGCTGGCTACGCTTGGGGTTACGAGACTGGAAAGCAGGAGGGCGAGCTTTTGAGCGGCTGCGGGTTGGAAATCACGGTGCCTCGCGTCAAAAGGTTTAGGTGGGGTGGCGGCAGCGGGATTGCTGCTTAACGGTCATTACGAGAATGAGGGAATGAGATATGAGATACGACGGTAGGTAAATACCTGGAAGGTAGGAAGGGTGTACCATGCAGATTGCTTTGGCTCGAGCTGGATGTGGGGAATTTAGCTCGGAATATTCTTATATGTCACGGATGGGCGAGGTGAGCCCGGTGGCTGTTTTTATCGATGGGTAACTTCTGGCGTTGGAAGGGGGTCTGTAGGCCAGCTTGATAAGGAAGGGCCTTAAATCATTTTATGTTGGGCTTTGAGATTGAATAACTGCGTAGTTTATAGTCAATATAACACTTACTATTATAAGTTTGTGGAGACGTGAAGAGTATGTGTCTAATACTATTGAAAACTTATCATTGTGACGGCACATCTATAGTTTTGTCAGATAATTTTTTAAGAACCTATGCCTGTATTATGGATGCAACGACGGCACATATACGAACGAGATAGTGGATGAACGAGGCCGAGGGCAATGTATATGTATTCAAAGACAACCCCCTCGAGCCCGCTCACTGGAGCGTTTGGCAAATCTATCTAACCGACCAATGATGTATAATTATATGTATATCTCCGACATATCCTCATGTATCAGCAAAACACAATCAAAACAACTGTTCCCTCAGTCCCCGTGGTATCTACGCAGGCCTGTAATTGTGACCTGGGCCATTGATCTCTTCGTGCTTCCCGTGTCCAAAAAGTTCGTCCTCGTCTCCTTCCTCGTCCTCGAATTCACCCGCACCGTCTTCGTCACCGTAATCCCATTCCTCTGCGTCTCATCGCTCGTTGTGCTAAGTGAGCCCACGACGACCCGACGCCTCCCCCACTCCCAGCCGAATAAACTCCACCCGCACATAGCGAAGGGGAGAGGCGTAACTAGCGGTCGTCAGGTGTCGATCGGTTTGTGATGTGGTGGTGGCGTGTTGTGTTTTGTTTCAGGTGTTGTGCGGTGGTGATGGTGAATTTGCAAGTTCATGCCACAGGTAAGAAATATCGAGTGAATTTACGACTGCTCGCCACTGGGGACAGAGCATTGTCCGCTCTTTCATTTGATCAACTTACAATATTTGGCCATAGAGTCAAGTCACGAAAAAGAAGCCGTTGCAATTCGTGATATTCTGTCTTCATTTTGTTGCGGTTGGACTGCTGGCTGTTGACTTCGCAATCTCAACCCCTCAAAGTCTATCTACCTCCTCTCTATCCATGAGACCATTCACGCTCCCTCCTATACCTCATTCCAACTTCAGTGTGTTCTGTCTGTTGGTGACAAATGCCAATTCAGCCCCTTTCTCCTTTCCCCCCATCCTCTGGTATCATGCCTCTCATCATAACTCCCCCCATATAAACATAACGAAAATGCCCATCCCAGCTGTATCGACTTCCCACTGGTATCGAAAATGAAAACCATCAACAGACCCCTCTAAAATATTAGTACAATGCACACATATACCCGGCGTAACGATTTCCATGACCCTGTAAAGAACTATAGCCCCCCGAACTTTTTGCCCCGTATTCTCTCCATATCAGACGACCTCGTTCACCTACTTCCCACCCTCCTTGATCCCCTTCGCCTTAACCTCCGCATCATACTTTGCCTGAAAGAATGCGCTCTCCTCCCACTGACAGAACGACTCCAGCTCATCCTTCAGCGGACCCTCTTTCATCGCCGAGAAGAACTGCCCGTTCCGTCTTGGCTCCTTGCTCTCACCCCAGAAGCAGTGGAAGCGGAATCTGAGGACGACTTCGGAGTTGCTGTCTTGCGTCCACACATCCACCACGTCGCCATGCTGAAGCTTTCCCCAATATTTCGCTGGGCTTGTCTGTGGCGCGCGGCAGTCGTGGCTGGGTAGCACGATTCCGTTCACTTTGATGCCGTGGCTAGCTTTCGTGGCGATGTAGAAGGCGTACGAGTTGTTTTTGTCGGTGGGTGGGCTGGCCGAGGGCTTCGTGCCAGGCTGCCAGAGAGCAAGCTTCAAGGCATATTTTGGGACACGGTTGTCGGTTCGGTCTGCATGGCGCAGCTTGTTATCGAAGCCACGACCCCAGCTAGTGAAGAGGGAGGTTATATTGAGAGTGAGGTTTGGCAGAACAGAGTCTGGGGTTCCCACAAGCTTAGCCAGGATCCTGTGAGGTGGCCGGAAGACATCGTTGCTGATGACAGGCTTTTCTTCCGGCTTACTGGTAGTTTTGGCAGCCTTCGAGTGACCAGGGAGATATTGACTAATCTCGGGAGACGGAACACCGTTAACCCAGCTTCCGGTTGGAAGAACCACACCATCCTCGCTGAATCCGCGTTCGTCTCGATTGAGCTTCGCTGGAGCACCTGCGGCCACTGGCTCTGATTGAGCGCTGGTTGGAGGCTCAGGCGTGGCAGACGCACTTCTCCGGTAGGCACCAACAACGGTCTCAAATACACTCTCCCCATGCTTGAACTCCTCGCCATACATCTTCGCCAAAGCCTTGGCTTCCTGGTACTCGGAGTTCCTCATGACGGGATAGTCTAGATGGTGAGTAGACCTATCTCTAGCATCCCAAAACACGGTCTTCGAGAGCTCGATGTCGATTGCACGCGAGGATTTGGCACGCTTTGCAAGTGGCTCCTCATCGCCGTTTGGATCACGTTGACGGCGAAGACTCTTCATTGATTCTCTGAAATCTGGCACAGTGAACGTTTCCTGTGGAGATGGAGAGGCTACGTCGACCACAGTTGTTGGCGACGGTGAGTTCATGGCCAGATTTCCAACCATAGATTCTGCACCAAGCAGGCTTGGAGCAGTTCCAGTGCCTAAGAGTGACGGTGGCATATTTTCGTGTTGTCCGGGAAGAATTGAAGATTGATAGAAGTTGTTCTGTGATTCAAAATCAAGTAGAGCAGCATCAACCTTTACGAATGAAGACTGAGCAGCGTTGTCGTCGCCAGTGTCCGAAAGAGGAAGGTTCAATCGCTCCTGCGGAATTACCCCAGAGCTACGTAAGGCAGACAAATTTACTTCCCCAAATAGGCGTGGCTGGTTGCTTGTCGTTTTGTTGGCGGCAAACTTCTCGCTGTTACCGGAGCTACCGTCGTCACCACTAATGAAGCTACTAGGAATCTCAAGATTCTTAGTATCTACCATTGCGTTTATGAGGTCAATCTCATCACTAGTTCCGAGCGAGTCGCTCTGGTCCTGGATACTTAACTGAGAAGCAGTGTGCTCCAAGTGAACGTCTCCTTGCCGAGTACTTTCGGGCTGTATCCACCGACTCTCCTCCAGTTCTTCAATACTCGGGCGATATGGTGCCTGATTATGAAGCATTGACTTGATCACGTTGATACCCTCTTCAGACACCCCTGCATGCTGCAGTGGACGAATATCCAGAGGACCCCTCATAATACTATGAAGGAGTTGTTGGTACGTCGTCCCACTCTTTGCTGGATATGGAGGACTGCCGCTCAGACAATAGAACAAAACCCCAGCTAGAGACCATAGATCAACAGCTTGATCGTATCTTTTGAATTTCTTACTCTTAGCTCGACCTTGTGCTTGAATATCAGCCGGGTCGAGGAAATAAGAGAGATATTCCGAGTATACTTCTGGAGCACAATAAAGAAGTGTACCACAAAAGGTGCGCATGAATGTGTCCTCGTTCTCGATTCTCTTTGACAGCCCGAAATCGGTTAGCTTAACATGGAATGGATCGAAACTCTGGACGAGGATGTTGTCTGGCTTAATGTCGCGGTGCGTTATACCCTTGCCATGCAAATATTTCAACGCCGAGAACATCTGGGTGGCGAGAGTCTTCGTGGACACCTCCGAAAGAGTGCCACGAGAGGATACGATGCTACCAAGATCACCTTCTGGAACATAATCCATAATTATGTAAAGATGATCTTGCCAGTCCACATGCTCTATATATTGGACAATATTTGGCTGACATTCGTTAGGACCACCGACAGAAGCGGCTATAATTGAAGATAGACTTACATGTTTGATGCTACTCATGATCCTCATTTCTTGGTCAACCTTTTGATCCAAGATGCCGTTTTTCACGAATCGGCGTTTCTCAAGCTCCTTGGCGGCATATACAGTCCCATCATACTTGGCACTTATCATATAGACAGTTGCGAAAGCTCCCTTACCAATGACACAGGACTTGTTATATTTGGCCCCGCCACGCCATTCTTTGGGACGCCTATTGACCAGAGTCTGATCTGGACCATGACCATTGCCTCCAGGATAGTTCTGCACAGCGAATATATCAGGCTGTCAAAGTTAGTACCCCTACATTATGATATGGCAAAGAATGAGAGAAGCTTACAGCCTGTCCAGCAACATCCGTTTTTACCTGGGCGTCCCTGTTTTTCCTGAGGAGCGACATGCGAGCAAAGTAGTCCACAAGATTCTGCGCGAAAATATCTTCATATATCCCCTCACGCTGCGGAATACGGACAACGAACCGAAGGTCCTCGTCTGGTGCATCCATCGATAAGCTGACAAGCGAGCCTTGTGAAAGGGTGTGTTTGTGAGGCGCATCATTTTCTTTGTCTTTGAATCTCAACTTCTTACCCTCAACTACTGTGCCGTTTGTTGACTGGTCTTCTATCATGACTATACCATCCGCGGTGATGAAAATCCTGAAATGGACATTGCTAATATGGCTGGTGCCTTCAACAGTGGGATATCTGAGAACAAAATCACAGCGCTGGGTGTTCCGGCCAAACGTATACCCAGCCAAGGGATCAATCAGTTTTGCAGACAGTCGAAGTGCAATGTCACGGGACACGAGACCCTGTTCAGCAAGATCCATAGTGTTAGGGTCTGTGATATGCGGCCCGCCTCGAATCTTGATGGGGGCAGATGCTCGGCTGACAGTATTTTCAGGGGCGACGTCGCCGATGTGTGTCACAGCATTTAAGGCCGACAGCGATACTGGGTGTAGAATACAGAAGATGTCGGTGAGATCATCGTCTTCGAGATCGGAGACATGGTCTCCAAGACGACGCGGGTCCATGACCAGCTGGGTCGCTGCAAGTATAACGTCAGCATATATCGTTGCGGATTGTCTCGAATGTGTAACGATTATATTACCTGGCTGGGTAGCATCGTCGTCCATTATATAACGCTGAAGCAGTACAGGTTGGTTCGTGTGTACGTTCGTCGTCCCCTATAGAACGCAATGGAAGTATAGGCTCGTGTATATAGATAGCTTCGTCGTTCTTATAGAACGCTGAAGCAAAAGCTTCGAAATCGTTGTTGGATGTGGTATGGTATGTCGTAAATCAGACAATGCGCGGGGTTCAAATATGGCTTTCTGTGGCAACCAGTCAGCGAATAGTCCAGGACAATGCTAAGGTTTGACCACCCAGTGAACAGACACCTACGACTCTGATAAGATATCCCCCGCTCCTATCACCGTGACGATGTGAGTTGCGACGAAACCGGGATTCCCCAGGCTCTAAAGTTGTCTTCAGAGCCTCGGAGCCCTTCGCAGGCACAGCAATGTACGGGGCAGGCTTGTATATAGTGGGAGTTCGTTGTTCGGTGCAGAGCAAAAAGGATCGATTGATTCTATTATATGAGCTGGCACAGTCTGAAGCTCATTCGGTCCGTCTGCAGGCTGTCCATGGACGCCTCACGTCGTGAATTCTACCGTTTCCCTGCCAATGGGCGACCCATTAGTGACCACGAACCTCACAGCCTTGGAATTCCAGGGAACAAAACCATGGAAACCTCTTTTTTCACATACAGTACAGTCTATTATCTGACTTTTCACCCAGGAGGGCACACCGCGCAGGGTGTTTTCCAGCACGAGGGAAGTCGTATGGGGTCACAGGCAACAACTTGGAGACGTTGGCGGGCACGCGATGGTGATATGGAGATGTATGGATGGGAAATATTTACAGAGGCACAAAGTACACCAGGGTGCATGACCTTGGCTGGATGATTGATTTGGCCTGGGAACGAGCCGGAGCCTAGTTATTGCGTTCCGCAAGGGGATAAACGCCAGGGGCCGTCAGGACTGATAAGACTGATAAGACCGTCAGCTGTGCCATAAGGTTACTAGCGGCCGCATTGATACTGCCAGCACCGAATATTGTCCATGGAAAGGAAAGGCGTCATCATAAATAAGGTGGCAGTACCAGCAGATCATGAGAAAATATGAAAACAGCAAATCAATGATATATAAAATATAAATATGAAAAGGCAGAAACTCGGGCGTGACTCACAAATACCTGGCGAGCTGGCAAGTGACGAACATGTCCACGGGGTTTATGGTTATACAGTCACGTGGCACATAGACTCACACCCAACGCGCACAGACCACCACCCTCAGTACCCCGCCATCAGGCTAACGTCGTCTCCGTCTCCGGTCTCCGCGCGGTCTCGGGGGAATACATCTTTGCGACCCGCCAACACATCAAACACCTCACACGACATCACTGACGCGTTCGCGACTGAACCCTCAGTCAGAAGCAAAAAGATGCCTGCCCTCACAGTCGACACGACCTCACCAAACTCCTCACCCCATCCGGCATTGCGGAATGGCGCCCCGCCGTACGCGCCACACAACGGCGCCTCGCCACAACACTCGCGCCCTTCGAGTCCGCCCCAGCCGCCTTACTCACCCATAACACCCACCTTGGCCGCCGCACGCCTCGACACCAACGTGCCTCCGTTGCCGCAGCAGCCGTTGCGAACATATACACACTCGCGACCCGATGCGACGTTTATCCCGCCCCCGCCTGCTCCCGTGGAGGTGATTGACTTCGACTCCAATACGGATGTGCTGGCGGTGAAGAGCGCGATAAGTCTGTTGCAGCTGCAGAAGAAGAAGGCGGCGCAGGATATAAGGACGTTGCAGAGGTTTAAGAACCTGGCTATGCAGGATCCGGAGGCGTTTTTGCGCGCGGCGGATTTGGGGGAGATAAGGACGGATGGGGATGCCACGTTCCCGGAGGATAGCGAGGAGGGGGACGAATATGAAGTGGATAGAGATGTGGAGATGAATGGGATGGGTGGGCTGGCGACAAAGGGCGAGGGACACAAAGAAGCCAGCATGAACAACGGGACGTCGCATACAAAGACACATTCTTCATTCCCTCCTCTACCCGTACCTCAAAAGGTCGTCAAAGTACCACCGATCAACTGGGCACAGTACGGTGTAATCGGCGACTCACTGGATAAACTGCACAATGACCAGCTCCAACATCCGACGCCAGGCTCACCAGCGCGCCTCGGCCCAGACGGCCAGGTCCTAAACGGCTACACGGGCACCGAGTTCGAGATGCGCGACCCCTCACCACAAAGCCCGGCGGGTACATTGAAAGGCACGGGATCTCCGGCCAAGAAGCCGGGGAAGGCAGCACCACCCGCTAAGAAGAAGGGGAGATGAACAGGCACGACTATACGCGGAGAGTTTACGATGAAATGATGAATAAGGCGCAAAGGCGCAAAGGGACGATAGCGACGACGGGTATGATGGAACTTCTTTGTAAAATTTGAGCGTTTTGGCGGGCCAGGCGGCGATTATACGAGTACATGAATTGAAACGTGAGCAGAGACTACAGCAGGTGCGCGGAGAGCTGATGTCGCTGGCGGCATCCACGGTCATTATGTGATGCATAGAGCATGGCGCGATAGATGGGTCTTGACATAGGACATGAGCAATCATACAAAGAGCATCACCGTCGTCTCACATGGACAATGCTACTCCTACGCTGCAGTCATGAACGCCCCATCCCCCGCCCTCTAGCCCATACCACAACCCCCGTCAATTTGCATCTGCCCCCTGACCTGGCGCCAACTCATTTATCCCCAACTCCTTCCAATCCAACCCATTAATCACCCTCAAGTTCGTCGGATACGCCTTCAGCCTCGGGTGGTAGAACTCCGGGATCTTGGCGAGCACATGCGCCGGCGGCCCGGTCTGGGTATCTAGACATACGGGTGTCCCGCACCTCTTGCAGAACCGGTGCGCGATCCACTTGTCGCCCATGAAATAGGCGGTTGTGTTCTCGATGCCGGTGATTTGGTAGTGGTGGCGCTCGTGGTAGGATATGACGTTGGCGTGCTGTGATGGGTTAGGCTGAGCTGGCTGGGGAAGAGAGTGACCAGAGGAAGGGGAAGTCTTACAATGGTGCAGATGCTGCAGTTGTAGATATGTCGGGCCCTGTTCCAGCTCATGAGTATGAACAGGGCCCGATATATCTATCCAACAAGGCGGGGTAAATCTACGCCTTAACCTCGGGGGCCTTCCTATCAAGATCCTTGACGGTATTCAAATTCACCGCAATAAAACTCTCATCCACCTTCTTAGCTATCACACCAGTTCCACACGTAGCACAGAAGAGATGCGATTCGAACAGGCTAGTTCGCCCGTGCCCTCATCCGCCTTGAACTGCTCGGGGGTCACGCTGAGCCAGAAGTAGCCCTTGCGGTGGCAGAGGGAGCAGTTGCATCTTGCGCCCCTGTTGATCTTGGGGACATTGACGGTGAAGGCGAAGTTGCTGCAGTGGCAGCTGCCATGGTTGGTCTTGGGCTCCTCTTCGGACATGGTGATTTTTGGGGATATTGTGATACTGTGTTGGGCAAGGCTGGCAATGGGCTTGATAGTTATGTTGGACACGGCTCTCAACACTTCTGTCCGAAAGAGACAACAGGACACGTTGGTGAAGTCAGAGCAACGCCGCATATACACACACCCCCTCCATAATGACCCCTCATAGGACTGGGCACTTCACAAAATCCGAGGCATGTTTTGTTGAGCTAACTGTACTTCGTCTCGTCGTACCTGTGCTCGTTTTTTTTTATCTCCCCGCGCTTTCCCATGTGGTACTGGGTTGGTTTGACAGTTGGGTGCCTTGGCGGGGTTAACCATAAAGCTCCCAAATCCCTGGTTAGGGTGCGGTAACGCTAGTCCATATATGATTTTGGTAGAAGGCGGTGTAGCGGCAGAAAGCCTTAAAACTTTCCCCAGCGACGACGGCTCTCGACTTTGATACTGCAATTAACCCACATATTTGAGCTCAATATCACAGCAATGAAGCGGAAATCTGAAACTATCGAGGGTGCCAAGAATGGCATCCTCAAGTCGGCTAAGCAGAAGAGGGTGAAAGGTACGAATCCCAGCTCTTAACCTCCCACCTGCACCATTCTAACATCCCCCCCCCCAGATTCCAAACCCGTAGACATCACCGGCTGCTTCCGCGCCGGTCTCTTCGACGCCCAAAACCTCTCGTCCTACACCGACTCCTACGCCACCTCCACTCCCTACAAACACGCCGTCATCCACGACCTAATGAATGACTCCCTCCTCCGCGCCGTCCGCACCGAAGTCCTCGAAAACGTCCACTTCACCCCCAAAGAAACAGACATCTACAAGATCCACCAATCCGGCGACCTCGCCAACCTCGACGGCCTCGACGACGCAGCCCTCGAGCGCCTCCCCTCCCTCCTCAAACTCCGCGATGCTCTATACTCCGCTGCCTTCCGCAAGTACGCCGAGGCTATCACAGGGGCGGGCGCGCTGAGCGGGAAGAAGACGGATATGGCGATTAACGTGTACACACCCGGCTGCCACCTCCTCTGCCACGACGACGTCATCGGAAGCCGCAGAATAAGCTACATCCTATACCTCCCCGACCCCGACATCCCATGGAAAGAAGCATGGGGCGGCGCCCTTCGTCTCTACCCCACCACCAAGCTCCCCGCCGGCGGCGACGGCGAGGTAACAACAGTCCCCAGCGCGGACTTCGCCAAGTCCATCCCCCCAGCCTGGAACCAACTCAGCTTCTTTGCCGTCCAGCCCGGCCTCAGCTTCCACGACGTCGAGGAGGTGTACCACGCCCTCACCCCCGCACAGCAGGAGCAAGAAGGCGGCCGCGTCCGCATGGCTATCAGCGGGTGGTTCCACATCCCCCAAGAAGGCGAGGACGGCTACATCCCCGGCGCCGAGGAGAAACTGGTTTTGAAGAGCAGTCTAGTCCAGTTACAGGGAAAGGCGGATGAATACGATTTCCCCAAAGAAACAGCCACCCCTGTCCCCGCCGCTGAAACAACCGCCGTTGGCCCAGACGACTTGGAAGAAGAGGGTCTCGAGGCAGAGGATATTGATTTCCTCCTCAAATACCTCACTCCTACTTACCTAACCCCTGATACTATCGAGCAGGTGAACTCGCATTTCCAGGAAAACTCCGCTGTGAGCGTCGATCACATCCTGTCCGCTAAATTCTCCGCCCGTCTCCGCGCACACATCGAAGCAGAGGAGGCCACCCCACTCCCCAGCACAGCTGCGGAAATCGAAGCCTCGTCTCCCTGGCGCGTCGCGAAACCACCACATAAACACCGCTTCCTCTACCTCGAACCCTCATCGTCCGGGGAGGAGGTGAAGGAGGCAGGCAAGAACCCGGTCCAAGAGCTGGTAGACGACTTACTCCCAAGTAAAGAGTTCAGAAAATGGCTCGCTATAGCTACGGGCTGCGATATAGAGAATTTCAACGTCCTCGGGCGCAGATTCAGGAGGGGCGCTGATTACGCTCTTGCGACGAGCCATGAGGGGGAGCCGAGGCTGGAGGTTTGCTTGGGGTTTACACCTACGAAGGGGTGGGGCGTTGACGACAACGACGAGGAGGAGGAAGAAGAGGAAGAGGAAGAGGAAGTAGAAGAAGCACCAGCGAAATCCAAGAAAGCCAAGAAAACCGCCGCCGCCGCAGCTGCTGCCAAAGCTGCTGCTTCCAAGGCTGCTAAAGCCGCCAAAGCCGCTGCAGCAGCTGCAAAATCCGAAGAAGAAGAAGACGACGTAGGCGGCCACGAAGTCTACATGGCCGCCGACGACGACGACTCCACCTCCGACGCAGCCATCTACAAAGCCGCTACGGGGGATGAAGAGGATAACGTCCTCTTTACGGTGCCGGCGGCGTGGAATAAAATGAGTATTGTGTTGAGGGATGAGGGGGTGCTGAGGTTTGTGAAGTATGTTAGTAGGAAGGCGGGGGGGGATCGGTGGGATGTTGTTGGGTTGTTTGGGGTGGGTGGGGATGAGGAGGGTAGTGAGGAGGAGGGTAGTGAGAAGGAGTTTGAGGGGTTCTCAGATTAAGAGGGTGTGGTAGTGGTTTTGTAGGGTGGATTGAATAATGATTCCTTGTCTGGATAAAATCATACTCAAAAGAGTTCATGATTACTCTCGTTTTTATACCCGTCTAATCGTGGCCATGAGGTTGTACTGCAGTGTGCGGCACAGATACCTGATTACCTGTGGTGTTCAGGTAATTACCTGGGTAATTACCTACCTGGGCTCATTCTCAAAATACCTGAGTATCCCGGTATTTTCAGATACTTACCCAGATACATGCCAAGTATTGCCAAGTGTAGCCAAGCCGCACAAATGCTAACGTTGAAATACTCGTCTTCATGCTTGATATGGTGATAATTGCCGTGAAAATGAGTGACTCTCCGTTGTCAGACGTGCCGACGGACCTTGATGGCTATAATCCTCACGATGAGCCAGCCCTACCAGGGCTTTTTACCCCTTTTCAGCAATCAAATCCAATTCCTGTCCGTCTACACCCGCCTAGCCAAATGCTACCGCCAACACAGTCGCTGCTGTTCACGAAGGAACTATATTCAAGAATACTACTTGAGAGCAACCCGCTAACTATCAAAGTATGCTGTATGCAGCCTAATTGCGGATACTCGCCCGCAGCTCAAACCCATGCTCAAGCTGCTGCTTCAACTGGCAATCTTTGGAAACACTATAGTCTTAAGCATAAAGGAATCTATGATGCTCTTAAACACAAGAATACAGCGCCTTCAAGTCAATCTAGCAGCACATCATCATTTTTTGAGCCTCAGAGACCAGCGACCCATGAATCAAGACCAACAAACAATCCAGCCAAATATAGAGAGTTAGTGCTATCGTTTATAGTATCTAATAACCTGTCTTTACGCATTATCGAAAGCTATTCATATCGTCAATTAGTACGGTTCTTAAGTCCATCTGTGTTATCACTTTCGTCAAGAACATTGCACCGAGAACTACAACGCCAATTCTCATATCACCGAGGCATACTACAGCTTGAACTCCATTCTCATATTATACATGGAGGCCGGATATCCATAACGACAGATGCATGGTCTGCACGGAACTATACAGAGTATGCTGCTGTTACCGCTCATTGGATTAATGATAAATGGCAGCAGAAATCAAAATTGCTTGATGTGATACATCTTCAAGAGCCTATTCATAGCGGTGAATACTTAGCTCAGCAATTAGCAGCTGTAACAGATAGTATAGCTATTACAGGCGCTATCTTTACATGCACCCGAGACAACGCATCATCAAATACTGTGATGCTCTCAGAATATGAGAAATTGGCTAGCAACGCCCAAACATCAACTCAACAACCTTGGACATTTACTGTCAAAGAAGGCAATGTCCGGTGTATTGCACATATCATAAATCTCGCAGTTCAAGCCGCTCTTACGAGTTTAAAAGCAGAACCAGATGTAGAGACAGAGACATACCGGTGTGAGCAAGGTGCAGCTCGGATTCCATTTAGTAGAGATAGTCATGTGGAAGTCATGAATGCTCTTGCAAAGCTACGAAGACATATCTATGTCTTTCGTAATCGACGAGCATGGAAGGATGCTTTACAACGACAAGTCAAAGCTATAGGTTTAAAACCACAGCAACTATCACTTGATATGCCAGTACGATGGAATTCAACACATCGTATGCTTGATACAGCATTAAAACTCCAAATACCAATCACAGCAGTATGCATAACACAACAGCTTGATATTAGTATGAAAGATATTGCATTAACTACAGGAGATTGGGCTGTTATTAAAGATCTTGAACGACTGTTCTTAATATTTCTCAAACCATCAAAACGGCTACAAAGTGATACATATCCGTCACTTAACTTTGCTATTCCACTTTATCTTAAAATGATAAATAAAGTTAAGAAGATGCAACAAGAAGTTGGCGAGCACTCAGCAATTGGTATTGCATGCACAGTAGCTTATCAAAAGCTTCACGCGTATTATACTCTTGCAACAAATCAGCAATGTAAGCACTCAGCTGTAGCTACAATTTGCGATCCACGGATGAACCATACAGTGTTTAAAAAGATATATCCAGATAGTACAGATCATGTACGAATCACACGGGCAAGAGCACAGTTTGAAGATGTTTGTAGAACATATAAGACACGGCAATATCATCTTGATACAGAGCGTATTGAACGTGAAACAGCTCTTGCAGATGCATTAGGAAATGCAAATACTAGAGTGCAAGAACCAGATTCTGATGAAGATTTATTTGCATCAGAGGGTATATCATTTGAAGAACCAGAATGGAAACGATGGATGCTTGAACCACGGCCTGGTGAGCATACTGATATTCTCAAATATTGGTCTGCAAAGCAATATCAATATCCAATAATTGCTCAAGTTGCTCGAGACCATCTTGCAATTCCTGCGACATCAGCACCATCAGAACGGGTATTTAGCAATGGTAGCGATATCATTACTAAGAAAAGGAATAGATTGTCGCCATCGACAATTAGATATCTGCTTTGCTTACGGAATTGGGGTTATTTACCAGATGCCGACAGCGACGGTGATGATGCAGATGATGAGGCAGAAGAATAGGAATAGGGGCTGTCTATTTTATTATTATATTTGTCACGAGTTTCACTTTTCTAGTTACATATTCTAGTTACATATCATTATCTATTTCAAATATCAAAAGCGTCATTTTTGTATACGGAATTGAGGCTCAACTACCTGCTAAAGTATCTGTAAATACCTACCTTACCTGAGCAAAGTCGCTCAGATACTTACCTTACCTGGCGAGGACCCAGATACTACCTGGGTAGTATCTGCCGAACACTGTTGTACTGTTACTACCTATTTCTATGTGGCAGCGCTTTGCTTCTTCTATAGACTAAAGTGGCTAGGACGACCGGCATCTCCTCGATTTACTTCACTTCACTACACATAAATCACAAGTCGCACCAGAGACTCAAAGTAATATCCCCGCGCCAAAGCGCGAGTTAATAAATGGTAAAATTTAGATCTCCCGCGTCCTCCGCGGTCTGGGTATCCATGCTACATACATACTTCCTCCCCCCTACCTTACCCACCCCAATCTTCACGCTACAGACAAAAAAACATGATCATAAAATACACACCATCTTAAAAAAGCAGGGCTTAAAAGATCGTGCCAATAGTCCGCCTGTAAATGCGTCCCCACTTCGTCTCCTCCTTCCCTCCATTCCTCGCCTTCTCCGCCGCAAGATACTCCAGCTCCTCCTCATCGATGCGCGCCTTCCCGCTGTACAGATCCGCAGTCTCCGGACGCACGCCCTCGCTCTTCATGATGAACTTGTACCCGAAGATCATGATGAGGTACAGCGGGATGCCCAGGTACGCAGTGATGAAGTTCTTGTAGTCCCAGTCGCCGTACGCGCTCTTGCCAGTGTGCTTGGGCAGGAAGTAGTTGAAGCCCTTAAAGATGGCGATAAGGCAACAGAAGCCGAGACTGATGTACGAGCCCCAGACTCCGCCGGGGGAGACAAAGGCCATGGCGCTGTCGGGGACGTTTTGGGCGCGGCGGGCGCGAACGAAGCAGATGTGGGAGACTAGGATGGAGATCCAGGTCAGGAGACCGAAGATGGTGACGAGGTTGACGAAGTACTTGAAGACGGTCATGGAGGAGGTGTCGACGCTCAGGAAGGCGAGGAGGCAGAAGAGCGAGGACAGACCGAGCGCGTAGATGGGGACACCACGGCGATCGGTGCGGGCGAAGATCTTGGGGGCGTTGCCCTCGACTGCGAGACCGTAGAGAGTTCGGGATGCAATGTAGAGATCTAAAGGGGGTTAGTGAGATGTAGGATGTATTTATTTGGGGATGAACATACCGGAGTTGGCAGCGGAGAAGACGAAAATGAGGATACAGGCGTTAAGGAGCGCAGGGAGGACCTTGATGCCGCTGATCTGGATGGCGACAACGAAAGGCGACGCGGCAGCCGACGTAGACTCCGAGGTGGCCGCGATGAGCTCCTTGTTGTCGTAAGGCAGGATCATGCCGAGGAGGAAGACGAGCACGACGTAGAAGAGCAGGATACGGTAGAAGGTGAGCTTGATGGCGCGGGGGATGACCTTGCGCGGGTTCTGCGCCTCTCCGACCGTGACGCCGACAAGTTCCATGCCAAGGTACGCAAAAACCGCGGTGGTCAGGCAGGACCAGAACGCGATGAATTGCGCCGCGGGTCTGCTGACGCCATGGACGTCGGCGTACGGCTTGAATGCGCCGGGGTGGTGCCAGTAGCGGAATCCCTTGGGGTCCCCTTCGGGGCCGCCGCCGCAGGCGAGGACGAGACTGAGCAGGATGAGACCGAGGATGACGGTGACCTTGATACTGGAAAGCCAGAATTCGAATTCACCAAAGAATTTGACGCCAAAGTAGTTGATCAGCACGATCGCAACGAGGAAAATGGCGATAAAAACACCTGGGTTGACCTTCTCCGGTGGCACCCAGTATTTGATGACGAGTGCCGTGGCTGTCAAATTGTTCGGGGTCACGATGATGTACTAAAAACGACGCATTAGCGCTAGCGCGACAGGCAGTTTTTCAAGAGTTCGTCTCACCTTGAACCAGTAAGTCCAGCCGAGAGAGAAGCCCAGCGCAGGGTCAACGAAGCGATGTGCATAACCAGTGAACCCCGATGCGAGCGGCAGCCACGCTGCCATCTCGCCCAGAGCCGCCATAACCATATATACGAGAACGCCGACGGCAGCGTAGGCGATGAGAAGCGAACCCGGACCGGCATTCACGAGTGCTTGTCCCCTGTAGCGTAACGTTGGTCAGCTCTTGGTCTCTTGGCCTCTTGGCAAGCGGGGTGCGGCGTAGTTGGTGGCGGCATGGCACCGCCACCAACTCATGGCTTGATGCACTCTAATCGTGAGTGGGCGACGATGCTGGGTGGCTGGGACGGGGGAAATGGCTGAGGGAATCGCTGGGAATCGCTGGGCTGGGGGGATCACGTACGTTCCGATAATCAAGCCCGTGCCAATGGCACCACCAATGGCTATCATGGAAATCTGGCGCGACTTGAGGCCGCGGTGCAGATGGTGGTTGGGGTCGTCGTCAGCGACGGTGCCGTGGGGAAGGGTGTCCTCCTTCTCCTCGCTGTATCCGATCTTGGTCTCGTCGGATGCGCCCTCGGCAGTGACGATGTTCTCGTTGTGGTGCGCCATTGCTGCGACTTCTTGGGGGGATGTTGAAATGCACAGCAGAGCTGTGGGAATCAAGTGGCTCGACCTTGGTAGATGCGGGCGGGATCTTGTTGGCAGCGAGAGAGACTGGACTGAGGGCAAAGCGCGTTGGGGAGAGGGAGGAGAAAGAGGAGGAGGAAGAGGAGGAGGAAGGGAGGAAGTGGAGGAGGAAGAGGAGGAGGAGGAGGAGGGCGTAGAGGGATGGGTCAACGGGACGCGATAGGAGTTATAGGAAAGGATGCTCAGGTGGGGGGGTGGGCGGAAGAGATATTTATTTCTGGCGGGTTGGTTTGGGGTACATTGGTATGTGCGTATCTCATTACTCCATGTCAAGTACCTCCAGCTACTCTTTTCTCAGCCTTCCCTTCTCCCCCACCATCTCCCCTCCAATTGGCCACAACAGCCACGTTGGCCTTGGCCCCGTTGACCCCTGTTGACGCCCGTTGAGCCTGTCTCTGGTCGCTTTAGGCCTAGTTAGTGGTAGTGTGACCGGCGCCAGCAACGACCTGCTGGGTTGGGCCTAGCGCGGGCTGGCTGGTGGCTTGGCAGAGATGAGGCTAGCCTTGCAGGAAGGTGGTACAGTACTGTACGAGTACTCCGCCTCTCTCCCATCCACCTCTCCCATCCACCCCCTCTACCATCCAGCCACCCCCTCTCCTCCATCCACCCCCTCTCCCCCCTCCCCCATCCACCTCCCCCATCCACCTCTCCCATCCACCCCCTCCCCCATCCACCCATCCCCTCTCCTCCATCCACCCACCCCCTCTCCCCCATCAAACCCCCTCTCCCATCCACCCCTTCTCCTCCATCAACCCCCTCACCCCCTCTAACCCCTCCCTAACCTCTCTAACCCGCTTATCCATCCTCGCCCTCCTCACAGCACACGCCTCGCACAACCTGCGCACTTTATACGTCGTCAACGGATGTGACATCGGATAGCAGCGCGCGGTGGGCATGCTGGGCGTCAAGGCTGGATCCCACGAAGCTGAACCCCCCGTACGCGATGATGATGGAGAGCTGCGGGACGACCCAGTGGCTGAGGGGGGGAGGGAGCAGGGACGCACGATTTCGAGGTCGTAGACGTGGTTGCAGAGGATGAAGTGGAGGCGGCGGTGGTAGCACATTTTGGCTCGCTGGCTGTGGTGTGGTGTGGTGTGGTGTGTGGTTGTTTTCGGGGGTAGAGTGGTATACTTACCTGGTGATGTGCGTTTGTGTGCTTTTCTTACCTGGAAACGAGGTTGCTGGAGCTGGGGAGAAGGTGGTGGGTGTTTCTTCTGTCTTGTTATACTTTTCTTTTCCTCGCTGAAATCGTCGACGGAGGCTGGGGTGGGAGGTTTTAAAAGGTGATTCGGAGGAGAGTAATTCATTTTCTGTTTCATGGGCATGGATGTCTTTCCTGCTGATGCATAGTGCATGTGTTGGAAACAGGCCGAAGTAATGAGCCAGCTTATTCTTTGCCTTTTTCTTTTTCCTTTCATTCTCTCATGCTAACAATCGTTCCTCCCCATTGGATCGAGGCCCCCCAGCCAGCCGACATCTGCACATCCCACACCTGCGAAACCATCGCCCCAGCGTCTATCGGAAAGCACAACAGGCGACAGATGATCTCTTCGGAAATCCTCGACCTCACAGCTCTGACTTGGGCCGATGACTATGATGCGAATGCGAAGGCACACGAGAGACCGGACGTCGTCAACAACTACTACAACGAGAACACCGGCTACCCGAAGGTCTGGGGCGACCCAGTACTGGAGGCTATTTTCAAAACCGACCGATCTCTGAAGGTTACAGCGCCAGCCTCACCCACAACAACCGGGAGCAATGCGGATCCCACCTCACCTGGGGCCGGCGGGTCCGGGACCGGGTCGCCAGATTCAACGACAAGCGCGAAGAAGTCTGTAAACACCGGTGCCATTGCCGGTGGTGGTGTTGCTGGCGTGGCCGGACTTGCTCTCGTCGGATTAGCAGCGTTCTTCTAGAGGACGCGGACAGCACAAAAGGACCAGCAGTATAGTAGCGCCCCAAACAACCCCGCACCCGCCGCTCAGGGCCCAACGGAACTGCCGGTGACCTACACGGATCAGCCGAAGGCGGAGTTCCCGGTCCAGGAGTACTACAGGAGCGAGCTCCCGTGATGTTCTCGTGTGTGAGTTTTTGGATACTTTGGGGCTTGGCTTCATCGGTTCCACTCCTGCTCAATTTCTCAACAGCCCACGGTTTCTTCGTAGGGAGCATCGGCATAACGTATTTCTCGGCTATTAAGGAGCTGAGATATGATCACCGCTTTGCGAACGCGTGGGATATTGTTGGATGCTTGCGGCTCGGCGGGGATTACGAGTATTCAGGGTTAGCACAAATAATCATAATAATCAGTGTTGCCCGAGTAGTACTCGCTCTAAGTAGTATTCGATGAGTCCCCGAATACTTTAGGTATTCGGTGATATTTATGAGTAACGTAAGTCATGGCGTAACGCGGGGGATGGCGTAACGCGGTGAATTTACCCCGCCGACTTCTGATAACTGTAAATAACTTAACAATGGTTCGCTGTAAAAGCCTAGGTGTTGCTAAGCGTGAAACTTTAATAGCCTAGGTAGTATTAGACGTCTAATCTAAGAAGTATAAGAGTGCATCTCACGCTAAGAAAGTGCTAGGGCTGCCGAAGAGTTCAGTGACGCGATGTATCAATGGAGGTTTAACACGCTCCTAAGCCTGCTAGAAAACAGCAGAATTTATTAGGCGCGCAAGAACAGATACTTCTGAAGTGGATTAAAAACCTAACAATTAATCGTGCGGCTACACCTCCCGCGAGAACTCTCGCTTCGGGGGCCACACCTCTTTCCAAGAGGTGTGGTGCAGCGTTATACTCGTGCGGCCCAAAAGTTTCCACAGGGTCTGTGCACAACAGCCAATTAGATTGTAGGAATCTACCAAGCACCATGTACTTGTACCCGAGTACAAAGAAAATGTACACGCATAGAATATGAGAGTGAATGAAGCAATGAAGTAATGCTCAACAATGGCTGAAATCTCAATACCACTACGTGCTGCAATTATTACCTTGCGTGTATACATGAACGCATCATATGGAGAGATTGAAAAGAAGCTTGGAATCTCAGCTGACTCTATTGCATATATATGGCACCAAACTGTTAAAAGGGCAGGGAATATGTAATGGTGGGTGCACCAGATATGAGAATCTAGCCACCCAAGGAAGGGATGAATTTACTAAGACAACACACTGTCTTAGGAAACAGAGCCAAAGGGTTGTAGCTTAGACTATTCCACAACGCAGCAATCAGGTGTATGATGTGGTGAAGTGGTTTAGACAAGTTGCAACAAATGTTGAGTTTGAGAACTCAGGGGTAAGTCAGAGGTTAGCACCTCACTGACTTTTCAAAAACAGAGAATAACAAGATCAATGCTTGGAAGCTTGTAAAAGACGTGGAAGTATGTGATAGTCGATTTACTGTATTGCCTGCTTGCCCTTTCTTAAGGAAAGGGCAATCCTATTTATGCCAAAGGAGTGTAGTTCTCTCATTTTCCATGACTTTCCATGACTAACCAGGCTTGGTAAATGTATTAGAAATCAAGTGCGACCCACAACTAGCTTGCTAATCATGTAGTGAACGTAAGAGAATCCCATAGAACCATCTCTTGGGTTCCTAGCCTATAGGAAGTGAAAAGGAGGTCCAAGGTCAGAGTACCTATAGACAAATTATGTCATAACTTAACCAATCTTGTGGGTAACTAAGGAGCAATGACGTGTAATGAATCATAGAGGGTTGTAGAAGCTTCTAGAGCTATCGTTCATGTTCCTAGGCCTCTAGTTGGTAGAGATATGCCATGTGGTAGTATTGGCCCACCCCCTTAAGGAGGAGATTTTCTTAATAACTTGTTCAATGAGTGTCCAAATGATATGCCGTGATGTATGTAGCATAAAACAGATGTAGTAGAAGAGTTTGCAGCAATCGTTGAGTAGTATTGCTTCTGTTGTTGGTGTGATAAGCCAAGATATGTATGGTGACTTGTAGGTTTGAGGAGGAGATTTCTAAGTTTGCTCTTGAGTTTGATAGCAAACTGAGTGCAACGAATGTCAGTATGACAGAATACTGAAATTCACAACCTTCTCCAACACCTCGAATCAAAGCCATGAAGCGGAAGACCACAGACAATTCAAAAGGATTCTGAAGAGTCACTACGCATACAATCTTTGCTACTTGCAAATCCATTTGACACTTTTGAACAAGTTATTAATAAGGAAAATCTACCCTACGCACGATCAATTGTCGAACGAGTTGCGTTGAAATTCCACAACCTATTGTACGGGAAAACATCTGCCTCAAGCCCTACTTGGATAATATCATTCCTTCAGTACGATGGAAATTCTGCAAATGGGCACTATCTGAACTTGAAGCTGGATCAATTTTTATTTTCTCAGACGAATCATATATCAATTTCGGAGGGAATCCACATAAGAAACGACAGATAACAGTTCAACGGGGTCAAACAGCAGAGAGCATGGCAATTCAACAGAAGAAATCTTTATTTCAAGTTATGTTTTGGGGAGCAATGAGTTCAGAAACCTCTATCTTACGCCCTTCTCGTTCATGGATTCCCGAAAGTATAGAAGAGAAGCAGATACATGTGCAGAAACTACGAGAGATAAATGCATATTGGAAATCAAAAGCAGAGAATGAACTTGTTAGAGCAACAACAGTTGGAACTCTTGAGTACAGATATGGAATCTAAATGCACATATTCGGAATGGCAAAAGCAAATGGAAAAAGGCACGAGTTGCTTCACATGTAAGGACACAGGGCACCCAGCTCACAGTAATAGCATATGAGAGTGCGAGTCAGAGGCTAAACGGATGCTATCCTATAGGTCTATGTTACGGCTATGGTAATGTGATGTCATGGTTACAGGACCAGGGCCTAGTAACGTGACGTGTGAGTCACAGGGGGCAAGCAGGGTAGGCTGCCATGTGATGGGGCTAATGGATAGTTGCAGAAACTAGTGGATATTGGATAGTTGAGCTATCCATGAACTATCCTGAATATCTAGCTATCCGCCAACTATCCAGATTACCCATGAGGCACGACGCCACTATATAAGTAGATAGTATTTCCTTAGATAGGAGCTTTGTGCTCAACTCAATATAGTATTCTTTACAATACTGTAACGTGTTACTTGGAAAAGCCTTTGTGTCTAATCCCCTGCCTCCTCTGTCAAGTCAACCTTACACAAGAAACCTCTGTGTCTTCTATCGTTTAGAAGTCAGCATTACAATGAGTTTGGTCCAGTTATCCTTGTTGCTTGGTGACATTGGTATGAGACAGCCGACATGTCACACAATTCCTCACATAGCGCAGACAATCCGCTTCCATTCTGACCCAGTGGTACTTCGGGGCAATCAATTGGTAGGTTCCGGCCGCTAGGATGTGCCACCGACACCTGGTCGTGCGCTTCTCGGATTAGTTTCGTACATAGCTCTGTGTGACAGTTCACACATAGCCGGCCTTTGTATAGAAGAAGCCGGACGTTCAACGTGAACCCGTCAGGTAGGGGGTGTTTCGCATGTGACTCTCTGTTGTCCTCACATAAAGCCTCTATTAAATCGAAAGGCATCTGGGGCTTGGGGGTGTCCATTGAATTAATGGATGCTATATAGCTCTCGGCGAGTTCAGTGCTGATTTGGGGGTGCAGGCGGCTTGGACCTAACAATACCCTCGCCCTACTATCAAGCTTGACTTTCTGCTGCGTTACCAGGTCTTGGTCTCTTCGGCTCAGAATATCTGCCTTCTGGTTATTCTTGCCCACAGTGTACGTAATGCAGAAGTTGAAGTCAGAGAGTAGTTCCATCCAGTGAACCTGCTTCACGGTGAGAACCTTGGTAGAAATGAAATATTCCAGCGAACGGTGGTCAGTGTAAACGTCGACTCAGTGGCGCACCGAAGCCAACTCGGGCCTCCATTTTCCGAAGGCCTTTACTATTGCGAATAGTTCCTTGTCATGGATCTCCCAGTTGATCTCATGTCCGGATAGGACATGACTGTAAAAGCTTACGGGGTACCATCGCTTGTCAGGGTGTTCTTGAGAGAGGACACCAGTTACGACTCAATCGGAGGAATCTGTCTCCAGCTTCGTAGGCAATTTGGGGTTGAAGTGGTGAAGTGCCTGTACTGCTAGGAGTTGCCGGCGCAATTCCTCAAAAGCAGCCTCGCATTCGTCTGTCCATCGGAACGGCTCCGAGGGACTAGTGATGGTGGTGAGGGGCTTTGCTATTTTGCCAAAATTGTGAATGAATTGTCTATAGAAGCCACAGAATCCCAGGTAGGACTTCACACCCGTAACAGTGGTCGGTCAGATCCAGTTACGAAGGGGTTCAATTTTGTCAGGGTCCACTTCGACACTGGAGGTAGTGAGAACGTAACCCAAGTATTTTGTCCTGGTGACGTTGAACTCACATTTATTCAAATCGGCTTGGAGTCCAGCTTCTCGGAGACACTGTAGGACCTTATGCACATGCTCTATGTGTTCCGTAGGGTCCTCTGAATAGATTAGGATGTTGTCTAAGTATGCGGTACAGAAGTCATCTAAGTATTGCATCAGGACGTCATTCATATACCGCTGATAGGTTGCGGGACCGTTTGTTAGTCCAAACAGCAGCACTTTGCACTTATAAGATCCATAGCGAGTCCGAAAGGTCATGTACTCTTCCGAGTCGGGGTGCATCCGTATGTGATGGAAGGCTTGTCTGATAACTAGCTTCGTGAAGATTTTTGCTTTCAACACCTGTCTGTTACGACGGAACAAGAAGGCTGGCCAACTACAGGACAGGAAGGAGGGAGGTCGCATGAGACCGGCCCTGGTACCTGGAGGGGCAGCGGGGAATAGTAGTTCCGAAAGTATCATGTGACGGACTCGCAGGATGATGAGAAGAATCCTAAGAGTCCAGGACTCCGAGGACTCGAGTGA